TGGAATGCTTAGGTCTCTGAACAACCCCGTAACGGATGTCATTTTTGAGATGATTTGGTTTGTATGTGCAATTCTGTGAGGAGAGGGCTGGCCGAGGAAATCCCCAGAGGTACATTAAAGCTCATATAAGATCGCAGGCATTTTTGTGGTCCGGCTGGAGAGGTAGCTTGATGCAGCGTTTTACATGCGTCCGAGGCTGTAATATCATTGATTTTAGTGCAGCAGGTGAGGTCATTGCACGAATCTGCAATGGTCAGGTAACGTTTGCTAATTTGAAACACCTATGACATCAAGGTGGTATCGAACAACGTGTGTATCAGGCTGCAGGACGGGTTGTTCTGTTTTATGCCTGTGAGAACTGGTCTGGTTTAGAGGCAGTGTTTAGGGGCGTCTTCAGGTATTAAACAGCGGTTGTCTTAAAACCATGGCTCGTGTCGGTCGGTGTCAGCATATCCGTAAGGCGACAACGAGATAGCGATTTTTGGTTGTGCACTGGGGATTTTCACTGAAGGATGTGTTATTGCGGTTTCCGGATAGATAATTATCATTACCTGAGACAGTTGGATCGCATCAGGTATGGCTATCTTGGTAGCTAATCTATTTGTTTATCGCTGACGAGATTTCTGAATTGAAGATGGGTTGCAATACTTGAACTGTGAATTTGATGAAGCCTGAAAGGGTGCCCAGTGTTGGTCAGATGGCTACTGTTGTTGTGTGTGATGGTTTCGACTCTTGATGAGGAGGAAAGAGCTGTCGATTTTATTAGGATATCAAAGGGCAGGCATCGTGGGAACTTGGGATTTAGTGCCCTAAATGAGCGGATTTGACACGAAGCACCCGCCCTTTCACTAGATCTTCGCTACGACTGCATCCGTGGATGCACGTTTGAGGACGCGTGTGGCCCTTGGATCCTAAGACTCAAGTCTACACCAATTGTTCTTACGACTGACAAGTATACACCTCTCTTTGGCTTTAACGCCGCTTCGCCCGATGATGCATATGGTTGCCGGATCCCGCTGTCGAATCATTGGTGTACACACGCCCCCCTCGCTATCGCTTATGGGACTAAGAGACAAATGGATTCGTTAAGCACTTGGTGAGCTGGCCACCGCAATTTTGTTTAATTGTATTTTAAATGTTATCATGGAAGGTGTGCACAGACCGTAAGTGGTCATGAAATTTTTTCAGAAGCCCTGTTGAGTGAAAAACTGGTAACTGGATTGGCCACACATTATGTTTGTACTACTCCAATCGATAAATAGAAACATGATAATTTAAAGGTGGTTGTGTATCCTTCAGGCATGGGGTGTTGGCTGCTAAGGGATGTATGGATATGAAGGACCGCCGTTGGTTGTTAGATTTGTCCGTTATGTATAGTTGCGGTATTACAGTCAGCTACAAGCACTGCACGGGCCCGGTAGTTACTCTAAGAAGCAGGGTATAATTATGATTATAACGGGGCGTCGTTGGCCATTGGACCGGACTACCGGGCACAGATGAAGCCTCATACTCAGCGTTACACATAGACACAGGCCTAGCAACAACGACAAGTAGTCGAAAAGGTGATATCATCTACAGTTACGAGTGTGACGGACCTTCGTTGGCCGTTAGATTGGGATTTCACACAAGGTTGGAGCCTGGTTTTTATCAACCCGCATAGACCAGGCCCGGTATTTACAATAGGTGGCGGACGTAAGCGGGAGCGCTCACAGTTATGGGTATGACGGGCCATCTTTGGCAGTGAGATAAGAACACTGCACAAAGTTGAGGCCTAATAATCAGCGTCTCATATGGGCATCGGCCTAGCAGTTCCAAAAAGTAGTCCAGGTACGCGGTACCGCACAGAGTTATGAGTATGAGACCCGTCGTTAGGCATTGAATAAGATAAGTGTGCATAGTTTAGGCCTCCCATTCGTCATTTTGCATAAATACTGGCCAGGTGTTTATCATAAGTGTCAAACATAAGCGGCGATGCGTACGGTTAAGAGTACGACAGATTAGGTTGGATTAAGTTACCACACATGGACACGGAACTAGCAGTTACGATAAATAGCCAGGTAAGGTGATATCGAGAACAGCAACGAGTATGACATGCCATCAGATTAGGTTATCACGCAAAGTTGAGGCCTTATTTCTACCGGCCCACATGGATGCCGGCCTGGTGTTTCGTCTAGGTAGTAAAGATAAGTGGCATCGCGCATCGTTATCGGTGGCCACTGGATTTAGTACTGTGCGTTGGTGAAGCCTCATAATCAGCATTGCTACTAGACGTGGGCCTGCCAGTTACGATTAGTATTCGAGATGAGTGACGACACTTAGAGTCATAAGTATAAGGGGCCGTCGCTGTTCATTGGATTGGGCTGCTGTGCACAGGTGAGGCCCCGTAATCATCGTCGCACAGAGGCGCGGACTCAGCAGTACGATAAGTAGTCGAGGTGAGTGAGAGCAGCTACCGTTACCATGGTGGCCGTTTTATGGCGGTCACCACGCATAGAGCATAATGTCCATGATGGGAAGGATACCATTATGTCCGTTATTTACCTGCAGCTCTCTCATGACACCGTATTATCTACAGGCTATGCATATCCGGGGAAGGGGATCATCCACGGAGATGGCTCTCGCATCGCCGCTGCACAGTTCATGCTGTTATACTTGATGGAAATCCAGCTCCGTCGGGAACTATGTTGTGACCAGGTTCACCGAACAAGATCATCTCATTTGTTAAATCCAACGTGTAGAGCAAGAAAACCTAAGTGGCCAATCTGACAGGGTAGAATTTGCATTCGATATTCTTCACAGGTTTTTTAGTTTTAATGAACACCGAAGAGCGCCGAATTATGCTGAAGTGGAATTTCGTATTTTATCTCACGTAAACTGGTCACAAAATGTGAGTCGGTAATGGTCCGTGACCTTGAAATTTCATTCACTCAAACAAAATTCCACGGGGAACGTGTCACCGGAAGGTGCGAATAGGTCAGACTAACCGACCGTTAAGGTCACAACTTCGAAAACCCTATAGTTTAGGCGAAAATAATTTGGATGTGCTTCTAGCCAGTGCCTTGCCTTACCTACATGTGGCTAGTCATCTCACTATTACCGTTAGTGTTTTGAAGCTGCACGTAAATTGCCCAAGGTCATCCCATTCCTTCAATATTTACTGTTCAAAACGATCATGTTTAATTTAAAACACTTCTATGAGGCTAATTCCAACACGCTATGTTCCGGTTTATGCAGTCAAAACGTCCACGGCACCATCCCCATATCACTTGACTTTCACCGTCCGCGAAGTCCCGGTGACCGCACTGCCATATTACAATGAACTGATCGCGTCAATTTCGGTTCGATCGTATATGGTTTCAGCTGCGCCTGATTTTATAAATCTGATCAATTACACGAGTTAAAACAGGCACTCGTTTTGCTGCTCTGACTTCCCCATCAAGATCGTGCCGAATTTTTTGGTACTTAATATTTGGAAAAACTGTTATTGTTATTATTAACTGCCGAGCGTTTGTACATTGTACCCGATTTGCACAGATGCTAGCACTTTTCTTTCCTGGGTTTTACACCCCGCTGACAGCCCCACACCTGTGCGAATTTACGGAGTGATCAAACCAGTCGCTACCATCGGGTGGCGGATACTCGATTGCTATCCCAGATGTCGCTGGCCGAGTTAAAACTATACTATAGGCGCAGACTGCAAATATTCTGTTGCATCATAAAAAACAGAGCATCAATTCTCTTTCATGTTTTCGCGTGCTGAAGCAAGTCAAAGCCTATACCAGATGATCGCGAAAATACCCATTTAAACAAACAAGCGCCTGCAACAGGCCACCGAAATGCTAGATAGATAGATAGATAGATAGATAGATAGATAGATAGATAGATAGATAGATAGATAGATAGATAGATAGATAGATAGATAGATAGATAGATAGATAGATAGATAGATAGATAGATAGATAGATAGATAGATAGATAGATAGATAGATAGATAGATAGATAGATAGATAGATAGATAGATAGATAGATAGATAGATAGATAGATAGATAGATAGATAGATAGATAGATAGATAGATAGATAGATAGATAGATAGATAGATAGATAGATAGATAGATAGATAGATAGATAGATAGATAGATAGATAGATAGATAGATAGATAGATAGATAGATAGATAGATAGATAGATAGATAGATAGATAGATAGATAGATAGATAGATAGATAGATAGATAGATAGATAGATAGATAGATAGATAGATAGATAGATAGATAGATAGATAGATAGATAGATAGATAGATAGATAGATAGATAGATAGATAGATAGATAGATAGATAGATAGATAGATAGATAGATAGATAGATAGATAGATAGATAGATAGATAGATAGATAGATAGATAGATAGATAGATAGATAGATAGATAGATAGATAGATAGATAGATAGATAGATAGATAGATAGATAGATAGATAGATAGATAGATAGATAGATAGATAGATAGATAGATAGATAGATAGATAGATAGATAGATAGATAGATAGATAGATAGATAGATAGATAGATAGATAGATAGATAGATAGATAGATAGATAGATAGATAGATAGATAGATAGATAGATAGATAGATAGATAGATAGATAGATAGATAGATAGATAGATAGATAGATAGATAGATAGGTAGGTAGGTAGACAGATGTGGTTTATGAAATTGCTGGCACCCAAAAACACCATGCCTTCATTGAAATTGATTTTGTTTTTCACCTGATTATGAGCGTGGCGATAAAAAGTGAATTACATTAACCTCACGTTTAAACCAGACAAACATCTTCACAGAATAGAGTCGAAGATCCGAAAACCTATAAAAGTGTCTCAATGGCTCATCCGTTACTCTGTGCCAACTGGATGCCGAATACTGAATACTGAAAAAGTGTCTTGACCTTTATTTTAGGGCGGGTAGCCTGGAAATTTTCGCTGTTCCTGCGCACGGCTTCACGTCCAATGGACTGGGCGTTAAATTGGTTCGAAAGCATTTCCCAAAAGCCACTTGGTTGTCGGAAGCGAAAAAATGACATTGAACAAATCAACACTGTTAAAAAGAAGAACATAAGACATACTCCATCAACAGCAGGAATCGTTGCAGGCGCTGAACCCACCACTTTTATGAAGTATGCGGCTAGTCCAAAGTTTATAATGAATGGGAATTGGGCACCATCCCCTGAGGTGCTTGAAAGTAATATGCTTAGTGCCTACGTTGTCCAGACGAAGGAAATGAACGATTTTTTCGCCCTAATTGGTATGATTTTTTATGGACTAACTGGGATTATCCACCAAAAGAGAACGATAAGATTATAAAGGGGTTTCTAGATAGTGACAAATGTTTTAAATATGCAGATAAGGTGGGAAATTTCTAACAGCTGACGCAGTGCTCTCCAAACCATGTAGTTTATTCTTGCTTGCGTTTTCGCCTACTTCAAGAGGTGCAACTTCAAGCCAAAAGAATATAACCGAATTAATTTCTTTTGTTGCTTGTAAGTGTATTCTTCCGTGCTACAGTTTTTGAGGTACTTGGCCCATGACATGGAAGAGGATGATGAGGATCTCAAATATGAAATATTTCCATGGGCGCTGGGGAAGATGTGGAGACAGAAAATATCTTCCTTCCTTCTTCGCAAAGAAACCATCTGGGCGAGAATGAACTACCGTGCAATAGTCAGCTACATGTGCTGTAAAGAGGTATTTCTGGCCCCGTATTTTACAGGCTTGTAGTTAATGTCCATTATGCCTACTCATCCCATATGGACAAGAACCAGACTTACTCACCATGGACACGCCATTCGCACATATGCAAAACCTCGGGATTCAAATATTCCAAAGGGGCCCGATTCTTCCCCAAAGTAAGCATAGATTCTTGGACCAAATATTTCAGGCCATGTTTTGAGTGCGATATATTTTATAATCATCACTATTTGAGCACTACATACACGGACATATCAAGAGAACACAAGAACGGCTTTGAATCCACCCGAATCGGCTGCTTCAATGAAGGTTAGTGAACGACATTTAGTGATGTCACTAGTTTCAGAACTTATGTCTGAACTAATAGAATCGGAAGACGAAGCGTTCAACCCATCATCTGAAAGTATATTGAGGAATACAGGAGAAGAATCTTGGTTATCTCAGGAAACTTACCATTCAAGTATGCCTCACGGTGACAATATTTCCACCATTATCCTCACTTTTTTGATGATGTACAGTGTCTGAATATCATCAGTAATTACTCAAACACAGCCCACTCTATAATACGAAACCACAAAATGGGGTCATCCTTTCTATATTAGTATCCACAGCACATGCTTTTTTCCTTTCCGTTTCATAATCCATAATCCAGATAATGGTTAAAGCTGTCGCGTAAAGGCTAGAAATGTCTATCTTGGGGGAGCAGCCAACTTTCCAAAAGAGTTAGCTGCATAAAACCCCTTAGAGGCGCAGCTTCCTTGGAAGTGGGCTACAAATACCCCCACTAGTTCATATATGGTTGGAAAATCGACTGTGTGATCAGTGCAGTCTATCGTTTAAACTGTCTTTTAAACTATCTTTTAAACTGTAACTGTTTAAACTGTAACATGAACAATGGAGATTCCGCATCACTGAATGCCATATACTCAACACTAAAAGTGGTCGACTGAGTCAAAATACTGAGGTAAACTCGGACAACATGAGTTGTGCTTCTCAAGACGATCCAATTTTGGCTAATTAAACTAATAAGGATTTTCTTAGAGACCTAGAAAACCATCCACCGATTAAACTACTCAAAGACAATATCATAATGATGCAAGACTGTTGAAATCAACTGTTCGTCACATTTCCTGGTCTCATACTGACTAACCAGGCCTCAAATATTCACTTTGTAGTATGCAGTCTAAACCCACCTATGCTCAGATGGTTCTTTAGACTATGCCTCACCAAAGTGGCCGATCGTATGCAAATGCCGATGCTCAACAAACTAACACGGAGCGTAGTTTTGCGTTCATTTATGAACAAATTGTTTTCATCTGTTTGGAATAAAGTAATGTGATACCGAATAACAAATGTGTGAAGCAGGTTGCTAAACAAAGCCAGCAAAATATCATATAGTCTTTTCACATCATCATCAGCTGTTCCAAGTAAAGATTTCTGGCACTGAATACTATAATATCGAACAATAGTGTCCACATCATGTCGGCCACGCAGCTTCCTAATAATTTACCTGGATGTATAAATTACCAACATAGTTTCCTATCTTAGCAAAAACAACAAAATCTTTTTACCGCACCGCGATTTAAAACTCGCATAGCCTTTACACACACTAATGTTTTTAAACTGCCAGGACCGAACAGATAAACACTTAACGTTTTGTTATGGTAAACAGTATTATTTAAGATTCGACTTAAGTTTCGTCGACAAAATCTACCTTCAAATGTGATGTGAGGTAAGTGTACCACCTGGATAACTGTTTCAAAGCTCAACGGCTGTCGATGCTTTCTGCCACCCTTCTGCACACACATTCAATTTCTCCACACGTCATCATCATTCACTCAGTGGACTAGTGTTTTGGTCCGAATTAAGCCAACTCAGCTACGGATCCCTGGTTTACTAAGTTAGAAATTGTAAGCTAATCATTTATCGAAATTACAATTGTTTTCTAACACGTCATGAAAACCTTCGTGTATTTGGTCGACAAGATAGTGGCCGATATCAAGTGTCTTGGATTCCACTGGAATAATTTATTCTAAGCAACAGAATGCTTATGGTCTTTTGAGACAGAAGCAAATGTTACTGAATCAGCTACGTGATGTAGGCTGAAACTGAAACAAAACAATGAATAATTAACGCCCAAGCATCAAACATGTCAACACTTTGGAAACACCTGTAGCATCCTAGTCCTTATTCTACTGAGAACTGACCCAAAAGGAACAAAGATTGCACACTATAATTTACTAGTAATCTTATTATAAGCCACAAATTTTACTTAGCTCAAGTATTGAATATATTTTCTACTGTTCCGTGACGCTTTTGGATGTCTGCTAGCGCGTTTTTATCGGAAATCATTTCATTTCTGGTAGCCTCGTGATTCCACAAAAATCACAGGCCACTTTTATTTTCTAGAGCATTGAGGGGTTGATTTTGCTTTTTATTTACAATATGGTTGGTTAACAACAGTGACACCTTTTGTTGATATCTCTCTATAGTTAATCTGTATCACTCTCTTATGGTTTCCACCGTAATAAAAGATTACTTGTGTGCATTTTGCCAGATATTGTATCACATCCCTTCTTAATTACCATAGAGATATTGTTTACCTGTTTGCTTATACAAATAATATGGCCTCTCAAACATCCAGGCAGCAGGAGAAGGGACCGCCTATTTACTCGTTTGTGTGAATCTGTGTTAGTTTCAGCGGAAATATGGCTTCATTAACACACAAGTATTTAAACTCCGAACCTTTCCAGTAGTAGGCCACCCCACATCTTTCCTATAGAATATAATATATATTATGTTACATATAATGTTATATATGTATTATACAGTATATAGTATGTGAAGCCCTACTCTATTCTAGGCAAAACGTAGTAAGGAACCATAATCCCATATTTCTAATGAAAAACAACCACAAGTGCCTGTTTATTTATTAACAAACAGTTCACTTTATCCCTAGTGAAATTTTCACGGGGAGTAAGATGGGCGCATTGTTTGTAGTCGTCAAATTTAGGGCGGTGCTTATTGAGTGCTGTTGCAGTAAACAATGATCCTTTCAAAAGTTTTGTTCACCTAAAAAAATCCAAGTTTGCCTAATCTTTTCGCCCAAATTAACCTAATCCAAAAGTACAAGAGTAGTGTCTCCTCTATCTCCTTGATCAGCTTTGTTCTCTATATGATGAAATACAAGTTGTCTACACTTTTAGGCCTCTTGGTGAAATCTTATACAAAGCGTTGGCTTGTTGAGATTAAATTTTCAAGGCGAAGCGAACCCCATTGTTTCAGACACCACATGGATGGTAGGATTACTGGATAGACTAAGTGAATAATCTACACGGTTAGGTACGCGTATTACAACAGCGGTTGGTGCAGTGAAAATGTAATACATATAGTGATAAAGCTTGAAAGGAATGCTCATAAACCAAGCATTTAATGTAGCAGTGGAATTTTTATAAGCAATAAGTTACACTGGTACCAGGGCTAGGTTTGATAGGACATGTAAGTCCATTGAACATTTTTCAAAACTTTGACTTCAGTAGTACCGGCTGAGTTTTATTGTATCTTTGAAGAGCGGAATCTATAACCCTGCGACTTACAAGTCTCTTTTGTGTGTGAAAAAGTCCCACGTTACCTCACTGTGTGACCATGGAAGTTTCCTGTAATAAGGCTTGTTTCGTAAAAGTACTAACAGCGGTTGGTGCAGTGAAAATGTAATACATATAGTGATAAAGCTTGAAAGGAATGCTCATAAACCAAGCATTTAATGTAGCAGTGGAATTTTTATAAGCAATAAGTTACACTGGTACCAGGGCTAGGTTTGATAGGACATGTAAGTCCATTGAACATTTTTCAAAACTTTGACTTCAGTAGTACCGGCTGAGTTTTATTGTATCTTTGAAGAGCGGAATCTATAACCCTGCGACTTACTAAGTCTCTTTGTGTGTGAAAAAGTCCCACGTTACCTCACTGTGTGACCATGGAAGTTTCCTGTAATAAGGCTTGTTTCGTAAAAGTACTAAGTTGAAAGCACTAAGTTGGGGGTTGGCTTAATGCTTTTCAGAAAAGTTGGCCAACAAATGAGCCACGAATTTTGATGCCCCCGTTACATTTAACCTTTTTTGACGGAGATACTGAATACAACTATCCAGTAAGGTTTATCGAATACTTTGAGACGAGAACTAAAACCAAAAAAATCTCAATTTTCCTCATGTTTGCCGGCTCACTGAGTAAATATGGAGAGATAGACTACATCAGTGGTGGTTAGGCCTTGTAGTGAACGTGCTAAATCATATCTTGCCAAGAAGAATGCTGTTTTTTCATGCTACATTTAGAGTGATACAAGTAGATGGGTGAGAAAAAGATCACGAAAAGTCTTGGAGCTGTCAGTGCGACTTGCGTTCCAGGATGGGGTCCGTTTGACTGTCCTTGTGCATGGCCAGAGACGCCGCAAACTATGACTGGTGTCAGTGGCGTTCTTGTTTTTGGTTTTCATTAAGATTGTCTTGAGGTTTACGCTTAGGTTTGTTTGTGGTGAGTCAGCCATAAGTTTTTTTACACATCTGTTTTTATCGTCTTTTTCACAGCAACGCAGTGAAGCATTAGTGTTAAACGCTGATATTGTGCAGTTAATTACAACTACGAATGCGCACACAGCATTCCCATATTCAGGTTACTGCTTTAAGTACACAGTTATCCTTCTCCTCATCAATGAAAACCAGTATTACGATCAACTTTCTGTCATCACCGCATCCATGCTAAAGCATTCTGAGCTGTCACCTCTAATTTGTGATGCCTTTCTTACTTGGTGATAAAGGTTCTGACTGTTGGAACTCGCTTACGACTTGTGTAGGCTTTCGGATAATGAGGAAGAAAACTTAAGTGATGGCCGCAAACAAGAGTAAGCGTCTTGAACGATTGACAAGACCCTGTAAACGGTTTTTGCAGCAAAAGACACTTTTGGGTTTACTAAAGTCAACTTTCAGTAGATAGGTTCAGAAATTATACTACTTATGACAGTTTTATGTATAACGTTTTATTGTTCATACATTTTCGGCGTTTATTTTTTTATCCACACTGTAAACCAATAACTTCTTTACTCCTGTTTGGTTGCTATTTTCAAGGGCGGTAACAACTCCGTTCTGTGGTTTTTCTATAAGAGAGGACCAAATTGAGCAGCTCTTTCATAAGGAATTTTCGCCGGATCACATATGTTTAAACGAAAAACCAGGATCACTACGCAGATTTTCAGGGTACAATGACGTATCAGGAGACTGGACAATGGAAGGGTTTGAAGTAGAAGACATGTTCATAAAGGAATGAAGTTTCTACCTAAACATTTGCTTTATTCACCTGCATTGAGTTTATAACGCCGTTTTGCTGGCTTCTTATTCAATTTGAGTGCAAATTCTGAACATTTTGGAGTGTTAAGTTTATCCGTCGGTCTGGTGCGAGACCCGATTGAATCTGAGTGCCCATTAATGCTTAGCTTATTTTTAAAAAAACGAATTTCAAGACACGTGAGAAAAACTCGGATTTAAGGAGTCCAAATAAGTAGACTGGGAAGTTGTGATTTAATGCCAGGACAAAATCTGCAGACTGAACTCGAAAGATACATTTTTAGAATTATAAAGGATTGTTCTTCGAAAGAAAAAGCAAGGATTTTTGAGCCTCAAAGTGAAAGTTTTCATGAAAGATAGTTTCCATATCCTCATTGGTGGAATGAAGTCTGACATAAGATGAGGCCCGCATCCACTTATAAGTGCTCATCAAAAACCGGGTTCAAAACACTCACGCATGAGTCTACGACGACATTCACTTGAAATCTTTGGCTAATTTGGACCAATTCGGTATTGTGGAATGCGAACTGAATGCACCTGACGGTTCTGCATCCTCACTAAATGCAGTCCCATTTTTCCTCACCTTTTCAGTATCTTTATACTCCAGGAACGATGGATCATTTAACTTTGCAGAAGAATAAGTTACATTCATCGTTTTGTTATTTATTTCTAACTTTTCCACTGTTCAACAGAATTTCTCATTGTGTCAATATATTTGTTAAATAAATGTGATGGTTGAACATCCATTTTGGGAGTGTATTAGCCTTGTTATCCCGAGATAGTTTAGACAAAACGTTTTTCCGTCTGATTGCTTTTTGGTCGCGGAAGAAATAATCACAAGGAATCTGTTAGCATGTGAGACATCTTTGCTAATAATGCACTTTATCAACTGGTTCTCCTGCAACAGCTAATTAAAATTTCATGTCCACGTCGAGAAAGAAGCCTAGTTCCTCTAGTTTCATTTTTACTTCGCAAGATATGTTACGGTCCCATAAGTAAGATGGAATCACTCTTATTTACAAGGAAGGTTGAAGTTTAGCAATTCAGCTGTTTGACGGATAGTGTGAAAGTTCTACATATTGCTAGATGGACCTTGTGCACTGTATAAGTTGGGCATCCTACTGATTACATCATCCAACGGTGGCGTCGGCACACTCGTTTCACGTCCCTTGTATACCTCATTCCTTAGACAGATGCAGTAGTAGGGCAACCGATTGAAATTTTTAGGTTACAAATATTTTAGCTAAAGACTTGTCATAGGTTTAAATAACGTAGTTTCACTTGAGAAATCAAAACACGGGTGAAATCACGCCCCAAAAATGGGCTTGTTTAATTCACCATGCCTCATTGGCAGGCCCAACCGTTAGCTCAAGTAACCAAGTCGCTAAGCGCAATGATGAAAAAAGGGAATTTGACTGAAAAGTTACTTGAGCCAGTTAGTTTCTCTGAAAAACGGTTTCAGTTTGTAGATGATCTTCAACAAACCAAACTCTGTACTTATCGGTTCATTCGCCAGTTCTTTTACTTGGTTTTCTAGGAAGTCTGATTTCAGTATTTTACTAGGGGCATGGGTACCCGGAAGATGGAAGCTTCTAAAGAAATTGGTTCTTTATCAGGATACGCTGGATCGATTCCTATCAGCCATACCCTGGTTTGTGATGCCACCAGAGAAAAGCCACTACTGAGGAAGCCCAAACTACCACTCTATTAGGCGCTTGCCATCCCTTGGGAGACGCTGCGTTTTCTCCGAACAACTGTGGATATGCCTGAGCAATCTTCTGACCATTTTGAATGCAAGTCGACATTCTTTACTGTCAAAAAGCTGAATTGAGCCATATTATCTCTATGCATACTGCTGAATGTAAGGTGGGTGTAGTTGCCCGGTACCATCGAAGAACTGTATAAAACAAACAACCCGTTCCTTATAGACCGTAGAAAAAGTTCAGTCTTAGATATCGAACTTTATTTACCAGATGTCCACACTTCTTTAGGCATCAGACGGTCCCAGTAACCTTGAACAGTACCCGCAACTTGAGTGCCGGGTACATATTCCCGCTATTTATACCCAAGAAGAATGAAACGACAATGCATTGGCTCTTGGCTTTTTACATAGAGGAAGAAATCCCGAAGTCGGCCAGCCGCTTTCACGTTCTTGCTGAGCAAGACACAGGAATACCAAGTGCGAAGTAACAATTTATTCCCCCAAACTCCAGTGCGAGCTATGACGTTCATTCCAACGAGTCCAAAAACATTAGGAGGCAAGCAAGCATTTGGCTCATTCGTCAGGATATTCACACAGCATATAGCGTAGTCCATCCAGAGTTAACACAGCAGCCTTCAGACCGTTGAGGTAACCGATTTGTGGTTGCGTGTTCTGTCAAGCATATCAGATAGAGAAAAGATATGTATAGACTTTATGTAAGACGTGTTCCTATTTGATGCGTGTCCGAAAACCCTAAAATTTGAGGAAACTCAACGGGGATCGCATTTAGGAAGCACCTTCTCATAGTATCACCCCACAAATCGCCTTTTTTTAATCACCACGGATCACCTACGAATATCCTGACAAAAACGTGGATGCAGGTGACTTCTGTTAGGCAAACTCATAGAGATTCCTGGAAAGGATAGCTCTCCTTGATGCACAGACTGTCAGTTCGAGCAGGAGGTTTTGTCGATAATCAAACCGCTGTGATAGTGAAGTTATGGTTTACTAAAGCGCTCGCTTGTAGTTGGTAGGCACGTGGTTGCCGGATTTGTAGGATACTCATGAGCAGAGCAACATTTTACCAGTACGTTTGCTTCATGGCCCAAATGAAGACCTACTCACGACTACTCACGTGGATGTGGTCTCAGGTGGATAACTGTATTCATAAGAAGGTTCAGCTTCCAATGTGCACACTAACGCAAAAGCCTCATTCAAGGTGATGTCTCAAACAAAGACAGACTTTGTGATATCGAGCGAAAACGGACCCAACAGTATCATTACCAAGCTCCTTGGTGGTAGCTTAGCTCAGGAGTAAGAATAACTTGGTGAGCGCTCAATCTATTAACTCCATAGGTTTTTTTTAGGTGTAAGTCACTGGCGATTCCGGGTAATGATGAAACAGCTGTACAGCGCTTCTCGATTTTTCAGCATGGACCGGCTTCACCTGCGATAAAACATCTCCGTTAAAAATTCAAAGTCTCTCACACTACCAACTATTTATAAGCAGCTCAGAGGAAGGGTAATTCATCCGGCGGATACCTCCATCATTCCTGAGGCTAGAAGGTTGCTTCCTTTCAGAGGGGTTTGGTAAACAATCGGTGGATTTATTGCTAGGCAACGTTTCGCTTCTGACACAAAAGCTTCGTCAGGCCAAGTGAGTAAGCAAGTAGGTTGATTGACTTTTAAGGCAGTCAGGGAACCAGACAATTTATTCCCCCAAACTCCAGTGCGAGCTATGACGTTCATTCCAACGAGTCCAAAAACATTAGGAGGCAAGCAAGCATTTGGCTCATTCGTCAGGATATTCACACAGCATATAGCGTAGTCCATCCAGAGTTAACACAGCAGCCTTCAGACCGTTGAGGTAACCGATTTGTGGTTGCGTGTTCTGTCAAGCATATCAGATAGAGAAAAGATATGTATAGACTTTATGTAAGACGTGTTCCTATTTGATGCGTGTCCGAAAACCCTAAAATTTGAGGAAACTCAACGGGGATCGCATTTAGGAAGCACCTTCTCATAGTATCACCCCACAAATCGCCTTTTTTTAATCACCACGGATCACCTACGAATATCCTGACAAAAACGTGGATGCAGGTGACTTCTGTTAGGCAAACTCATAGAGATTCCTGGAAAGGATAGCTCTCCTTGATGCACAGACTGTCAGTTCGAGCAGGAGGTTTTGTCGATAATCAAACCGCTGTGATAGTGAAGTTATGGTTTACTAAAGCGCTCGCTTGTAGTTGGTAGGCACGTGGTTGCCGGATTTGTAGGATACTCATGAGCAGAGCAACATTTTACCAGTACGTTTGCTTCATGGCCCAAATGAAGACCTACTCACGACTACTCACGTGGATGTGGTCTCAGGTGGATAACTGTATTCATAAGAAGGTTCAGCTTCCAATGTGCACACTAACGCAAAAGCCTCATTCAAGGTGATGTCTCAAACAAAGACAGACTTTGTGATATCGAGCGAAAACGGACCCAACAGTATCATTACCAAGCTCCTTGGTGGTAGCTTAGCTCAGGAGTAAGAATAACTTGGTGAGCGCTCAATCTATTAACTCCATAGGTTTTTTTTAGGTGTAAGTCACTGGCGATTCCGGGTAATGATGAAACAGCTGTACAGCGCTTCTCGATTTTTCAGCATGGACCGGCTTCACCTGCGATAAAACATCTCCGTTAAAAATTCAAAGTCTCTCACACTACCAACTATTTATAAGCAGCTCAGAGGAAGGGTAATTCATCCGGCGGATACCTCCATCATTCCTGAGGCTAGAAGGTTGCTTCCTTTCAGAGGGGTTTGGTAAACAATCGGTGGATTTATTGCTAGGCAACGTTTCGCTTCTGACACAAAAGCTTCGTCAGGCCAAGTGAGTAAGCAAGTAGGTTGATTGACTTTTAAGGCAGTCAGGGAACCAGTCCGTGTGATTCCTTATGACTAGTGACTTGATCAGTGCTGGGTGTTCAGTCAGATGTTCCTGTTTGTTGATTAGTGAGGATGACTAAGATTTCCAATTGATAGAAGGTTGCTAGTTCACTTCTTGGGAAGTTTGGTTATTGATGTCGCCTTTATTGTCAGAGGTGATTTTTTTTACAAAGATAGCGATGGTGTGTCCAGTGTGAAGCTGGCTCCATTGAGAGTGATATCAGTGCTAAATCCAAGTGAATGACGTTTCAAGAGTTTTATCAGAACAGAATCAATACTGTAATTATAATAAAAATGAGATGTATCCAATCTCAAAAACAGCTTGCCGTCTATAGTATCCTAAATTCGGAAATATTCAGCTCGATGGCCGAGCGTTGGTGGTTCGAAGTGAAACGCGCCGAACTCTTTGGTGTCCTGATATATCTATGGTCATAAACTCAGCTTCGTTGCTCACAAATTAAGTGAGGTGGGGGGGGGGAAGCCGAATGGCCTCAAGGCATTTCCCTGGCATTGTGTAAGCTTGTGCTACGTATCTCAAAAATGTGGGGATCATCCCTTGTTCAACTGAAGTCACCAACAAAGAACGAAAATGAGCGTACAAGAAGCATTAGTGGTACACCCAGTCTAAGTGACCAAGATCACAGTAGTATCAGAGGGCAGTTTCTTCCCGTTGTCCTTGTCCACGCTAGAGCTACGCAGCCTAGCCGATGTGGCGAACAGTGCCATATTAAGAAACTGGGGAACAAGAGTTTCAAAAGAAGACAGTGAATTTCGAGGGCCATTTGGTTACTCTTGTTACCCCACACACCGAACGGAGCGCTTGAGCCATCTTAATCGACATAATAACCAAGAAAAGCATCTCGACCGCACCCTCAGCGACTATGCCTCCAACCCACATCCCCCAGATGATTGTAGAGGGACGCAGCTGTGCCTTAGACCTGCAGTGGGCCTGCATGGTCAAGAAGAGTAACAGATTTCTAAACGAATCCCCGTGCTTGTAAGCCAACCGGGGCGAGTTCTCGAAACTGTGTTTCACAGCTGAGATGGGTCACACGGATCACCCACTTTAGATCTTTATGACAGAGCCTTGTAGCCGCTTTCCAAAAACTTCGGGGTTTCTGAACTCGGTAACTAACACCGTGAATTGATTTTAAACCGTGCATCAACCTTGGAACTATCTTTGACTAGGAACACCTGTTGTGATGTTCGTCGCGCGATGGAACCTACTACGCAATCTAACCGTACAGGATAGTGTTTTATTTCTGGTACTTAAGAACAGAAAGCGGAATATTTTGACTTTGTAACACGTACATTGCATTTTATCTCACACTGTAACCATGAATAAAAAGATGCTTCCGATAGATAACACTGTTTGTTATAGCATATAGCGGTTTCGAGGTTTGACAGTGCCCATGAAGACGTACATATTAGGGCGACATAAATCACAACAAGAACAGGGTCGAACACATTAACACAATGTAGACAGATAATCAGAAATGCAAGATAAAGAAATAGACGAGAATCAGAACCTGTTTTATGGAGAAATGCTAAAGAGAATACCAGCGCACATCCCTTTTTCGCAAAGTGGTCCAGCCAAGGGTTCACGTAAACCAACTTGTCCGGATAAGTCACAAAATCGAATTCATACGGTCCTTGGAAACATCATAAACTACCGATGGTCCGTTGCCTGTGAAAAGGATTGCGTTTTATCGTGCTACAATAAGGGTTTGCATCTGAATGTATTTGTGAAGCAAGAAAGTAATTCACATTAAGCATCTTGTTCTTAACAGTACCGTACAAAATTCTTTTTTTGTGTGTGTGGAAATTCCTAGGCCAATAGAATGTTTGTTACCAGAGGGAGGGAAAAGAGAAATGGGACTCTTTTGCTTTTAACACCGTCATAGTGTCAAACAAAAAACGATTGGAAGCGTCGTTTCAAGCAGACCCGACAACGACTGATCTCGCGAAGGACAGTAGTGTCATCTGGTTGGCGTTCGCTGATGTATTTCCCCGTTGGCTGCTGGAATTCAGTCCCATTGGACACGTGACGCAAGTAGTAGGCTTTTGCATCGGACCAGTAATGGCACAAGCTCATTCCGTTGTTGCATTCAAGAAGTGGTGAATAGCGGAAGTACTCGAGACAACTGCCAGGAGAAGATAATTGTTGCCCGCCTCCGGTGCTTCCAGCCGAGTGCTGCAAGGAAACCAAGGCGCTGATGAGCATCATTAGGGTATTTAAAACGGGCGAGATAAACATCCTCTCCCGGTCGTTTTTTTGAAAACATTGAAGATGTTCTAGTGAAAAACATCTATCCCATCTCCTGTATCAGCTGTCTCCAAGAGAACCCACTCTGTAATCTTACTAAATGCCCTTAAGCTCAAAACTTGATTTGTAAACCAAGTTGGTCCTCATGCAATCTATCATCCGCTGAAAAGGACTGTTTCAATCAGACGTACCATGACAAAACTGTAACCGTTCCAAAGTTCAGTCCATCCATTCGGGCAGTAGACCTCCTGGAGCTGATTGGCCTGGGCATGGAAGGCATAAGGCTGCGTGGGAGCCTCACAAATAACGCATCGTGCAACCCGTCTTCGTACCTCGCTCACATCTAAGGGCATCATGGGGAGTGGTTCGGTAGTGGCCAACCAATAAGATCGATCGGCCCGTACACCCAGATGACAGCTACCATCCCGAAGGCATTGGAAGAATGGCATGATGCTGAACATGCTCAAACAGGAACTGTGGGATCCTTTAACAGAAGAGTAAAAGTGAAGTCAATTAGGCTGGTTATCACAGAGGAGATTCAGATGGGAATCATTCGTGCAAACAAGCAGTAAAACGACCAATCTTCACAGGTCTAGTAGTATTCACGCTGGTGCCAAGCAGAAGTCTTCTTGGTATGCTGATACAGTAAGTTTATTCTAATGAAACCTGTTCCCAGACAAATCTAGGGACTGAACTGGATAAAGTTGTGCTAATTAGGACTGGAATTTTTGGGACGTATCTGGGTATAATTGTTTACAGTAGCTAAATTCAGCCAAGACGGAAACCATAGAAATAAAGGTGCAGAATGAAGTGGCCTGTAATACCGATCCCTGTCTGTGCGGATGGCTGGGAAGAGCTGTAACCATTGTAAGATTTTGCACTGACAGAGACTACGAAACAAGCAACAGCAAGCAGGAGTACAAAATGACACCAGAGACCGATGTGCTTATGATTCGTATCAAATTGGCGCACTGCCTTGCTGGAAAGGTGGAATACTTAGTGCAGATCTTTTTGTGGTCTGTCAGAATTTGTGATAGTTAATCACAAATCCCGTTTGCGATATTCCTAGCGTTCACTATGCTGCCAACCTTTTTTCCAGAGTAAGCAACTGTGTTTGCAGTTTGTTCACAATCACTTGTGTGTGACTAACCGTCGTTAACTGGATCAATAACACAGATGGTCCTGATGAGTAAACTACTGGTGGCTGGTTTGTTCTCTGAGCTCGGTAATCTGATCGCCCCAATACCAAAGTGACATCACCAGTGCGTTGTTAGGGGGCTCAGTGAAGCGTAGCGATGGTCCTACCAATGAATAACTTCTCAATTTTGTTGGCCCGTCATCTCCTACCGGTAGCACAAATGAATTTGACCGATGAACACTGAGGGACAATATGTATAGTACCAGAATGAACGGTCTCGAGTTTCTTGAAAGAAGAATCATTCCACCAAACACAGGAAATATTCCTATTGACACTTGTTGCCTGAATACCAGTGTTTCTTCGTTTACGTTTCTCCGTGACTAGATGAAATACAATCGAACTACCCAGGTGTGAGCAAATCGACAATCTGCACTGTCTATACTCAATTCAAATTTTAGGACTGAGTTATTTATATTTTCTTCTGGAAATGTGCACATTAAGTAGGGGAATTTCGATAGATCTTGGTTGCAAACTAAACAGAATGCACTAGCCCCTCGTGTATAACTACTGTGATCTTATCGGCGGATTACACACATCATCTACATGAGGGCAGCAACAGAAAGTCTGGTTACAAAGCAAAGGAACGTAGGGTCCACACGGTTCCCTGATGATTCGTTATTCAGACTTTATTTTAAGTTTCCAAAATAACCACGGTATGGACAATTGAGCATTGTTGAAAGTAGGCTGCCAAGGCAGCAAACGGAAGCCTTTTACGCTTACAGCGTGTCGACAAACTTCAAACCAGGAGTGAAACCCCCAGTTAGCCAGGCATCAGATGAGCATAACGAGCTGTTCGTACACGAAAACGCAGTTTTCAAGATGATAATCTCAGCTACGAATTGCTGAAACGCGTTTGATTTGTCTCAAATCATAGCCAGTCAACTGGTACACATTAGTGCAGTCTACACGTCATGTATTTACGGTAGCTGTGCTTCACCATTCTGTTTCAGGATTAAACTACTTATGAGGACTCAGTGTTTGAAGCCACTTGTAGCGCGATGGTACATGGGAGGTAAAATGAAACGAAATGGTTCAGAAACACACTTAACTTCTCAGCATGTTCACTGGTAAGAGCGAAAAGTTATGAGACACATCTAAGGTGTCGAAATCAATGTTCGGAACTGGTACTCACCAAGATCCATTGTCACCCGTTCGCCATTTCCGTTAGCCATGACGAAACTGTACCCCTCCCCAATCTTGTTCGAGCCTGGTGGACAAACCAGCTCCGCGTCAGGGTTTTGGAAATGACGAGTGAATAAGTACGTCGACATCAGCGCCTGCCCTGGACGTCCAGCAAGCCCGGGTGGACCAGGAGGCCCACGGTCTCCAGGATAACCACGAGCTCCAATATCACCTGGAAGGCCTTTGATGCCTGGATCTCCTTTATCACCTATCATTCCAGGATCTCTACCCTGAGGTCCGGGCAATCCCATTTCACCTTTTATACCTTTTGGGCCTCGACCGCCTGCCAATCCGATACTTCCTTTTTGACCAGGTTGGCCTTTGTCGCCTCGTTCTCCCTTTCTTCCCGGTTGGCCGACAACAGTTTTACCCGGCTCGCCAGCAGGTCCGGTTGGTCCCATTTCTCCTTTCATGCCACGATCTCCTTCCATTCCAGGTGGGCCTGGCCAACCTTGGTCGCCCTTTTCACCTTTCAATCCAGGAGGACCAGGTTCTCCAAGTCTTCCAGGGTCACCAGGTTCGCCCACTTGTCCATCTTCACCGGCTGGACCCATTGGACCTGGATCACCCGGCATACCTCTTACACCTTTGTCTCCCGGGGGACCTGGTGGTCCTGGTTGACCCTTGGCTCCAGGGACGGCAATATCTCCGGGATCTCCAGGTTCTCCTTGTGTACCCTTTGGTCCTAATGCACAACGGATACAGACGATATAGCATACATTTGACGGGAGCATCTATGTGCTAAACTGTGATTACCGGGGAAACGACCATGAAGAATCTATTAGAAACCTTGTCAAATCCCGTGTCAAATGCACCAGGCACCAGGTGCACCGGGCCCCTAATGGATGTGCATACAGCCCAGTGTTAAGCTGAAAACGCAGATTGATTCCCACAGTTCAAAGCTTGGGATGTGGAATCTTGACTCTAAAGAGGATTTAGCTAAAGTGGAAAACCTACAGTACAGGACCAAACAAGTATATATATATATATATCAGGTATATGTTTATATGTGTATGTACATAAATATGCATATATATGTACCCCTAACACTGATTCAAGCCATATTGGTAAGCCGATAAACATTGCGCAAGTATATGGACAACCAATACTGCCCCATTCAATCAATACTGCCCCGTTCCCCTGCTATACCGTGAAAAAAAAAACAAGGCTGCTTGGCTTTGTTTTCAAAGTACCATTTACCTGGAAATCCCCTTGGACCCATATCTCCCCGTTCGCCTTTGGCTCCCGGCAGACCACGACCTGGAGGACCGGGTGGGCCGATTTTTCCAGGTTTTCCAGCAATACCTGAAGAGTAAAAGTATTTTATAGTAGTCATAACGGTCCAGCATATCTCATAATTTTTCCTAGAAAACGTCTAACAATCGGGAAGACATTTTACGTTATTATTCTACACCACTAGCCCCAGTAACTTGTTATGGTAAAGTAAGCACCATTCTGTGAGCACACTGAGAGCGCAACGGCTGACAACGTCTGACAACGTCTTCTAGGTACTCGTTTAGTATTTATTGTTGACCTATTAAACTGTACAAATGTAGCCAAAACGTTACGCCAGTCTCACGATTCGCATCAGTGCACGGTGGTTGTTGATGAATCTACGTGATCTGGTCGTTTTTTGACTTCCTCTTGTGGGCGATCAGACTATACTACTTGGATTAAACGATGAGAATATGAATCACCTGGTCTGTGGTCATACAGATGTGTCACAGTGAACCACAGCAAACACTGGCACTCCAATGCAAACGCACGACATTACCACAGGACTATACTATCTGGTACGTCATTAAGCTAGAGAATGTTTAAAAAACGATGTTTCGTGCTCCAAAGCTCCCCACAGATTAAGTAACTTTACTCGAATGGGGGTGAGATAGCTCAGTCTCTAGAGCGCGAACCCGGCCTCTGCCTCTCGACTTCCCCTGTCTAGGCTTGGGCAACCTGACAGTATTCTGACTCTCTTGCTTCCTTTTGGTGGAATGGCCGATAGGCACCGAACCTTACTCAACCACCGCTAACGAATACTTCCAAGAGCGGTGAAACGGGTCCTTCATGTAAGATGTCCAGGATATCTTCATCCGACTGCTCGGCGGAATTTTAATGACTGGACCGTAACCATAAAATGTCTCGACACAAATCTAAAGGTGTTTTGCATCCGAGTAACGTAAGCTTGTGCGAAGCCCGAGGCGAAGTACCTCACTCAGGGCACCTCGAACTGATATGGAGCTATTCTCATTTTTTATTCAATGAGAATCACTTGGGGACATTTAGGCACGTTATCACTTTAGGCGGGTACCGACTAGGTTTATCGGAAAACAGCTGAATTGAGTGTATCCACCCTGACAGAAGACATTATGCAGAATCCCATTTGCGTCGGCCACAGTGCAGTTTGCCTCATAAACCTGCTTCACGCATGAATCCAAGTTTACATCATAACTAGCAACCTTGATTACTGAGTTGATTGGATTAAAGTGCCCGTAGAACCTGAGGTGCTGCCTTCAAGAGCGACCATCTTTTGAAGAGCAAAAGACAGCCATTGTGAAGGAAGGTTTTTGAAACAGAAGGTAAAACAACCGGCTGCACTTGGAGAAAGTCTTAACCATTGAAAACAAAGTTCCAGCTTCTGGCTACAAAGTGAACGCCATAACTCAAAGATATAAACAACGCACCTGTGAGTCCTTTCTCACCAAGAGGTCCAGGCAGTCCTGGCAAACCTGGATCTCCGACCTGACTTTCCAAAGGAGGCAGACATTCACCCGGGGGACCTTCATAACCTTTCATTCCCATTGGTCCCGGTGGTCCCATGTCACCGGCCATACCAGGATAACCGGGTTCACCACTCTCCCCAATCCGACCTGGAAAACCTTGCGGCCCCGGATCTCCGGGTTCGCCAACATCTCCAGGAGCTCCTTGTTCTCCACGTTCACCGAATGGCCCGACGGCTCCTTTGGGACCCTGTGGTCCGGGGGTACCTAAACGAAGAGATATTTTAATGGTTATCATTCAACGCATAGTATAATTTTCGATGCAAATGTGTTTTCAAATCTTTTAACCCTGTACAAGTGGACGGTAAAATTAATCTCAAGAGGATGTGGAATGCTAAATCCAGACATTCAGTGGGGAATTGCTAGTAAAAGCTGCCAGCTCAGAACAAATGGAAGGATACTGCGTCCCAGCTGTACTCTAGCGGAAAATAAGACAACTGTGGTCATTCGTGGTCTCGTGGTCATACTTAACGATGAATTCGCTCCGAACAAAATATTTACGATGGCTCCTTAAGAACAACTCGAATAATTTTTGCCCTTTGACGTTTTGGGATGTCTTCTGGGTCGTAAGCTCTCAACCATTACTTTCAGTTGAAGTAAATCCACTTTCAGTGGGTACAATAATGGTTAGACTTGCTGCAGTGTTTGTTCAATTTGAGAATCGAGTGAATATTACTTTAAATGAAAAATTACGGTCTCATCACGTCCCCAAAACTTTGATAAATTTCACACAACAGAACAAACAGCAACGTAGTTGAGTTACAATCGTTTCCTAGCCCTTAAACACAAAGCACTTTATCCAAGTCCTCCTTGACACACTGATGTGTTGCAAAAAAATTAAAACGGACTCACCCATTGGTCCTGGCTCTCCCTTGTCTCCTCGTTCACCAGGCGGTCCTCGTTCTCCATTCTCACCTGGTTCACCAGGAACTCCGTGCACAGGTAGGCCTGGATCACCCGGATCCCCTTTGATACCCGGCCATCCTTTCTCCCCTGAGTAGCCTTTTGGTCCCATAACTCCTGGAGGACCGGGAAGACCAGGCTTTCCTGGTCGACCTGGGGCACCTGGAATTCCTGCGTCTCCCATGATCCCCTGTTGAAATATGGTATCAAACATAAATAATACATTAATTTTTATCAAGTAGTTTTACTTACAGAATACTATCAAAGACAAATTGAGAAACATTCACATTGATATCGATGTTCGGGTGTTGATATCTTTCTGGACACCTTGTCCCCGAAAAGTACTCCCATCACTTAGACGCAGGACTTCCCAAACAGCACGCTCTTGTCTATGAATCATTTTGCCAAATTTCTACAGGAGAACCCTGCTTTTGAAGGTAACCTACAAAATATCCACTCACTTTTTGTCCGGGAAGGCCGGCTGGACCGCGTTCTCCCGGTGGACCGGGCCGACCAGGTTCACCCGGCTCACCGGGTAAGCCTTTTTCTCCCTGATCGCCAGGGTCACCAATATCACCAGGCGGAGCACCAACAGATTCGCCGGGTTCACCCTTTTGTCCACGTTCGCCTGGAAAACCAGCAGCGCCCTTTTCTCCAACGTCCCCAGCAGGACCCGGGTCGCCGCGTTCGCCCTTCTGACCGTCAGCTGCGTAACCAGGTTGTCCAGGATCACCTTTTTCTCCTTGAATACCATCTTCTCCTGGTTCTCCTAAATACGTATGAATGTAAATGAATTACATCAGTGTACTTGTGCTCGCAGACGATTATCGCATGCCAAATCTACCTAGCAGGTGGTTTTTGTCTAGTGCAATCACTGCTTTTCCATTTTTCGTGGTGCATTTGCACAGTTTCCAATATATTTATATGTGTATGTACATAAATATGCATATATATGTACCCCTAACACTGATTCAAGCCATATTGGTAAGCCGATAAACATTGCGCAAGTATATGGACAACCAATACTGCCCCATTCAATCAATACTGCCCCGTTCCCCTGCTATACCGTGAAAAAAAAACAAGGCTGCTTGGCTTTGTTTTCAAAGTACCATTTACCTGGAAATCCCCTTGGACCCATATCTCCCCGTTCGCCTTTGGCTCCCGGCAGACCACGACCTGGAGGACCGGGTGGGCCGATTTTTCCAGGTTTTCCAGCAATACCTGAAGAGTAAAAGTATTTTATAGTAGTCATAACGGTCCAGCATATCTCATAATTTTTCCTAGAAAACGTCTAACAATCGGGAAGACATTTTACGTTATTATTCTACACCACTAGCCCCAGTAACTTGTTATGGTAAAGTAAGCACCATTCTGTGAGCACACTGAGAGCGCAACGGCTGACAACGTCTGACAACGTCTTCTAGGTACTCGTTTAGTATTTATTGTTGACCTATTAAACTGTACAAATGTAGCCAAAACGTTACGCCAGTCTCACGATTCGCATCAGTGCACGGTGGTTGTTGATGAATCTACGTGATCTGGTCGTTTTTTGACTTCCTCTTGTGGGCGATCAGACTATACTACTTGGATTAAACGATGAGAATATGAATCACCTGGTCTGTGGTCATACAGATGTGTCACAGTGAACCACAGCAAACACTGGCACTCCAATGCAAACGCACGACATTACCACAGGACTATACTATCTGGTACGTCATTAAGCTAGAGAATGTTTAAAAAACGATGTTTCGTGCTCCAAAGCTCCCCACAGATTAAGTAACTTTACTCGAATGGGGGTGAGATAGCTCAGTCTCTAGAGCGCGAACCCGGCCTCTGCCTCTCGACTTCCCCTGTCTAGGCTTGGCAACCTGACTAGAGCGCGAACCCGGCCTCTGCCTCTCGACTTCCCCTGTCTAGGCTTGGGCAACCTGACAGTATTCTGACTCTCTTGCTTCCTTTTGGTGGAATGGCCGATAGGCACCGAACCTTACTCAACCACCGCTAACGAATACTTCCAAGAGCGGTGAAACGGGTCCTTCATGTAAGATGTCCAGGATATCTTCATCCGACTGCTCGGCGGAATTTTAATGACTGGACCGTAACCATAAAATGTCTCGACACAAATCTAAAGGTGTTTTGCATCCGAGTAACGTAAGCTTGTGCGAAGCCCGAGGCGAAGTACCTCACTCAGGGCACCTCGAACTGATATGGAGCTATTCTCATTTTTTATTCAATGAGAATCACTTGGGGACATTTAGGCACGTTATCACTTTAGGCGGGTACCGACTAGGTTTATCGGAAAACAGCTGAATTGAGTGTATCCACCCTGACAGAAGACATTATGCAGAATCCCATTTGCGTCGGCCACAGTGCAGTTTGCCTCATAAACCTGCTTCACGCATGAATCCAAGTTTACATCATAACTAGCAACCTTGATTACTGAGTTGATTGGATTAAAGTGCCCGTAGAACCTGAGGTGCTGCCTTCAAGAGCGACCATCTTTTGAAGAGCAAAAGACAGCCATTGTGAAGGAAGGTTTTTGAAACAGAAGGTAAAACAACCGGCTGCACTTGGAGAAAGTCTTAACCATTGAAAACAAAGTTCCAGCTTCTGGCTACAAAGTGAACGCCATAACTCAAAGATATAAACAACGCACCTGTGAGTCCTTTCTCACCAAGAGGTCCAGGCAGTCCTGGCAAACCTGGATCTCCGACCTGACTTTCCAAAGGAGGCAGACATTCACCCGGGGGACCTTCATAACCTTTCATTCCCATTGGTCCCGGTGGTCCCATGTCACCGGCCATACCAGGATAACCGGGTTCACCACTCTCCCCAATCCGACCTGGAAAACCTTGCGGCCCCGGATCTCCGGGTTCGCCAACATCTCCAGGAGCTCCTTGTTCTCCACGTTCACCGAATGGCCCGACGGCTCCTTTGGGACCCTGTGGTCCGGGGGTACCTAAACGAAGAGATATTTTAATGGTTATCATTCAACGCATAGTATAATTTTCGATGCAAATGTGTTTTCAAATCTTTTAACCCTGTACAAGTGGACGGTAAAATTAATCTCAAGAGGATGTGGAATGCTAAATCCAGACATTCAGTGGGGAATTGCTAGTAAAAGCTGCCAGCTCAGAACAAATGGAAGGATACTGCGTCCCAGCTGTACTCTAGCGGAAAATAAGACAACTGTGGTCATTCGTGGTCTCGTGGTCATACTTAACGATGAATTCGCTCCGAACAAAATATTTACGATGGCTCCTTAAGAACAACTCGAATAATTTTTGCCCTTTGACGTTTTGGGATGTCTTCTGGGTCGTAAGCTCTCAACCATTACTTTCAGTTGAAGTAAATCCACTTTCAGTGGGTACAATAATGGTTAGACTTGCTGCAGTGTTTGTTCAATTTGAGAATCGAGTGAATATTACTTTAAATGAAAAATTACGGTCTCATCACGTCCCCAAAACTTTGATAAATTTCACACAACAGAACAAACAGCAACGTAGTTGAGTTACAATCGTTTCCTAGCCCTTAAACACAAAGCACTTTATCCAAGTCCTCCTTGACACACTGATGTGTTGCAAAAAAATTAAAACGGACTCACCCATTGGTCCTGGCTCTCCCTTGTCTCCTCGTTCACCAGGCGGTCCTCGTTCTCCATTCTCACCTGGTTCACCAGGAACTCCGTGCACAGGTAGGCCTGGATCACCCGGATCCCCTTTGATACCCGGCCATCCTTTCTCCCCTGAGTAGCCTTTTGGTCCCATAACTCCTGGAGGACCGGGAAGACCAGGCTTTCCTGGTCGACCTGGGGCACCTGGAATTCCTGCGTCTCCCATGATCCCCTGTTGAAATATGGTATCAAACATAAATAATACATTAATTTTTATCAAGTAGTTTTACTTACAGAATACTATCAAAGACAAATTGAGAAACATTCACATTGATATCGATGTTCGGGTGTTGATATCTTTCTGGACACCTTGTCCCCGAAAAGTACTCCCATCACTTAGACGCAGGACTTCCCAAACAGCACGCTCTTGTCTATGAATCATTTTGCCAAATTTCTACAGGAGAACCCTGCTTTTGAAGGTAACCTACAAAATATCCACTCACTTTTTGTCCGGGAAGGCCGGCTGGACCGCGTTCTCCCGGTGGACCGGGCCGACCAGGTTCACCCGGCTCACCGGGTAAGCCTTTTTCTCCCTGATCGCCAGGGTCACCAATATCACCAGGCGGAGCACCAACAGATTCGCCGGGTTCACCCTTTTGTCCACGTTCGCCTGGAAAACCAGCAGCGCCCTTTTCTCCAACGTCCCCAGCAGGACCCGGGTCGCCGCGTTCGCCCTTCTGACCGTCAGCTGCGTAACCAGGTTGTCCAGGATCACCTTTTTCTCCTTGAATACCATCTTCTCCTGGTTCTCCTAAATACGTATGAATGTAAATGAATTACATCAGTGTACTTGTGCTCGCAGACGATTATCGCATGCCAAATCTACCTAGCAGGTGGTTTTTGTCTAGTGCAATCACTGCTTTTCCATTTTTCGTGGTGCATTTGCACAGTTTCCATGGTAGTTCACTTGGGTCTTAAGTATATTGGGCATACAAGACTTACTGGACATTACCTATAGCCGTGGGTTGTCAGTATTGGTTTATGGCTACCTTCTTCTGTAGTCAGCTATCTCACGCAGATTAGTTTGCCACCAACGAAACATGGATATGGTGTTGTTGAATAGACCGTTTCCTTCTCAAAAATAAACAAATTTCTGCACACCCAGCCCCCGTGTAGTGGTAACATAACGGAAAAGCAGTTCAGAATTCTATCATGGTAAGTCCAAACCCATACAATGTTCCTATACCCCAGAAAGAATAAAACAATGTTGATGTTTTCCTGCTTATAGACCGGCAAATGCAAAAAAACTAGAATTCGGGAGTAAATTTAATACCACGAAAATGGAGGCCCAGCCAGGTAGTTCATGTGAGCCACAGAGATTAATTTGTGGCGTCAGTTTGTCCGCGGGTTTTTGCTAGCAAACTCGAAGTAATCACATAGCAGCATCTCTTCTCCTCTGTCTGAACAGTCAACTTTCTTTGTCAATAAGATAGTCACTGCAGCTGAAGATGAGCGTTTAGGTCAAGTGAATTCTGAGGGTTACCAATAACTATGATTACGCGAGTGGTTGAGATTTAGTTAAAGATGACTGAAGTTTTCCCAAGAATAGTGTTACACTGTGATTTTTTGATCCACTGTAGGTTCGACGCATTACATTTGGTTAACGGACGTCGGCACTGAAAATATACTTTGTTCAGTGATCTGTTTCTGGTACGGGTGCTACTCGGCCGCAGGGTGGATGTTCGAACAATCTACGGCGCAAATGTAGCAAGCATACCGTATGGTTCAAGTTGTATTCTAACACCAGGCTGCTCTCTTTTATATACTCCGGAATTCGTGTAACGGAAAACGCTACATTCTTTCCTATATCACGATTTCCTTCCAAGTACAAGATACCTAGAGAACCTGAGAATCACGGGCTACAGTTTGGCTTACAACCAAGGAAAAATATCTGCGAGCTGACAAGAAAGAAGAGAGAAAGCGTTCAGCTGTAGCACCCTTCCGGTGCCTAGCTGCCATGCCACTCGAAGGAAGCACGAGGGCTAGGATACTGCCAGGTTGCCCAAGCCTAGACAGGGGAAGTCGAGTGGCGGAGGTCGCATTCGAACCACGAATTTTCCGGTCAGTAAATTCGCGCTCTAACCACTTGGGCCATCCCGCTGTGCCATCGTGCTCATCAAAACTCCTAGCGTGTACTTTCATAGATTAACGAAGAGAAAAGTTCTAACGAGAGTGAAATTTTGCCGGAACTATTTATTACTTTCACTTATTTTTTATTTCAGTATTGATTAATAGTCGTAGAGGACGTGGTGGTTCCCAAGCCATGTACCTGAATTCGACTTCATGCTTTTGCTTAAAGCAGTTCTAGCTAGGCCCATGGCCGCCTTACCTCCAAACAATGGTCAACGTGAAGATTACTGGATTCTTCAAGCAGTAACGCACCTCATTTTTTCGGATAGAGCGTAGGCAACAAGGTCGACTAAATCGGCACTCCGGCGATTTATCATATGAGGAAAAACAGAGCCTTTTCTTTCTTGAACTAAAGTGTCAAGCAAACGCAAAGAGGGGGTCTAAACATTTTGGAACGATGTTTGTGTTGAAAAGACAAAATAATGAATCTTTATGGATCAACCTGCAACAAAAAACATATTCCTAGAGTGTGTGATGAGTCACTGACAGTTGTCAGACGTAAAAAGCGAGTACGCTACACTTTGTTCTTGAAAGGAGTGGCTTTTTTTATGGAAAACACACTCGAGAGCTTGGGAGATGAAATTCTGATTACATGCATCTACTGTATCGAGATTCTAGAAAAAATTACCGGAAAAATATTCATGAGACAGCTAGAAACAAGAGATAGTCGAGAGATACCTGGTGGACCAGTTACTCCTTTGGGGCCAATCGATCCAGGGTAGCCTTTAGGTCCAGCCGGTCCGGGACGCCCCCGTAAACCTGGTTCACCAGGTTGCCCATCAGGTCCCCGAATTCCCTGTTCACCTTTGACCCCTTTGGCACCTAAACAAGACGAGAAAGACCTTAATAATACCCAAAATAAACCAGCTAAACCAGATATCGCCTCATCAACATACACTGCCACATCTTGTAGCCATTTCACAACGACCACCCAACCAATCTTTGGATACCAGTTGCAAAAAGAACGGCGGGACGTTCGGAATGTAAAATTCCAGGTAAAAAAAGAGGATGAACGAATCAAACAAGACGAATCGTAATGCAGAGGTGCGCCAAGAGAGAGCAGTTTCAAAAAGACTCTATCGATAAAGATATGTAGATCCCCAAATTTGCGCTCAATTTCTCATGTAATCGAAAACCATTGACGTCATGTGAAATGATCCCTTCGTTGAAACCAGCTACCACTGGCGGGATGGTAGATGTAGTCGGATTTCGAATCTATAATATGGTAAAAAATCAAAGACTGGTTCAAGACAGTCTTTTGACAGAGCAGACCTACTCCCTCAACTGAACGGAAAAGCGATTCGGTTCACGTTACTAAAGTAAACAAGGGTAATTCCCCCGTTCTCATAAACAGCAGGTATTAAGATGACACAGTTGTTGAGGGCCTAAGGCATTTCCAGAAAGTCTATGCAAAAATAAAGCTCCTGGTGGAAAATACGACATTTAAGGCATTATGATGCCCCGATCAGTCTGGAAAGCACAGTGGGATACAGCAGGATGGACTCAGTTAAATGTTGCTTTCCGCAAAAATTACGAAACGGAATACGCTGAAACAGAATAAAGTGTTGTTTAGATCGTCTGTCGTCTATAGACCATTTAAACCACTCTCAAGTGTTTCGGAGCGCACAGTACAGGCCTGAATCACTTAATCGATAGAGCCTCGGGGAACCCAAAGTGTGTGGATTGCTGTTTCGTGCTATGACCTAAACAGCCAAGTTCAACTCTGCGTCCCGTGCACAACAGATCCCTGGTAACGGGTTAATTGATATTCGACTCCTTCTAAGTTGGACCATGATCAGTCGACAGGATACAAATTAATTTTGCCAGGTGTTCCTTTTCTGAAGATTAGGTTGTCGTGTCATTCCCCGAAACTCACTAGTATCCTATATGCTTGTCTTCGACTTAGCCACAGAAGAGTGTAAATATGCCCACAGAGATGGACGGCAAGCAATTTGCTATTGAATTTTCATGCTGAGCTGAAGAAAAACTTTGGTACAGTATATGGTTCAAAACATACCTTCCTCTCCTAAAGATCCCGGTGGTCCACGCGTTCCCTTAAAACCTTTCGGCCCCCGTAGTCCTTTCTGTCCCGGAAAGCCTGGCGGACCAGCGTCTCCAATCTCACCCTTCGCTGCAATTCCAATACATTCACCTTTGAAACCTGGCGGTCCTGGTCTTCCAGGTAGACCTGATAATAACGAAATCCACATGCTTCACGTAAGGCAGTTCAGAAGTACAGCATTTCGGTTATGAACACTGCACAAGTTCAGTATGCTTCATCAAACTGAAATACCTGATCAGTCATCTTATACGATCATCAACTTGAGCCTCTAACCCCCTAAATTACTACCCAGTTGTTGTGTATATACATCTGAACGAAGTAGGATATTGAAGCCAGAATAGAATAACTGGATAGGCGATATCAAGCCGCCTGCTTATTTGCTTCCAATACTATGTAGCTCGCGCCTAACAACCATGTTGACGCCAACAATAACAACAACACTGTGAGACTTGTCGTGCATCTGGTTGACAATGCAACGGTGTGTCCCGATAAACGAAGCCTAACTAGTACTGTAATGCGATGCGGTTAGGTCCAGGACTTGTGAGCGAAGTATGTGGTTAAAAGAAGTCCTGTGGTCACTACACAATGCCAACCGATAAAACCTGGGGACAGATTTGCCGCAGTCGGCCACAGTAAGGTGGGTTTCCTGAAAACCATGCTAGTAACTGGTTCACGTGCTTTGTGTGGAGGTGTGGGTGATAGTACTAGCCCAGTGCCAGAATTATGTCATTTTTCAGGCAGTTCTATTCGGTACTTCGCTAACAGAAGTGATTAAAACAAAAAAGATCATCACCTATATCTCCAGGTTCACCACTGTCTCCAGGAAGTCCTTGGATGCCACTGCCACCGCTCGGTCCTGGATCGCCAGGATATCCTTGGGGTCCAATATCTCCACGCATCCCGGGCTCTCCCGGTCGTCCGGGCAGTCCTGGAAAATAAGTGTAACAGTGGTCATGGACGACGCTGCCCACTGAATGTTACCAAACTAGAAGTGAAAAAATCTACAGCAACCATTTGGTTTCCAGTAGTCCAAAGACCTTACCTTCGTCACCTGGATCTCCAACTGGCCCCGCATCACCCGGCAAACCTCTAGGTCCCGGAGTTCCTGGTCTACCTGGTGGGCCAGGATCGCCTTTTTCGCCATCACCTGGTTTCCCCGGTAGTCCTTTTTCACCCTTTCGACCTGTAAGGTGGTGAAAAAATTGAGCATTCATTTTTTTCGGTTTGAAAACCGGAATGTTAATTCAGTGCATGATTGCGCGTTCATATCATGAGTAGTTACATCACTCACCGGCGAACCCACGATCACCAGGGTAGCCTTTGGGGCCCGATTCGCCTTTTTGTCCAATTGGTCCCGGAAAACCAGGGACACCTGGATCGCCACGTTCACCAGGCGGACCTGCGATTCGGTTGAGTTTCGAAGACAGAAGGGCAAATGCAAGAATATTCATGAATAATCACGTGTGAACTATCATCAGCTGATAAAGTACTCTTGGTTTGGAGATCTAAGAACACTCGTTAGACTAATCGTAAAGACTATCTAGGGGTATCCAGTATGAATAATCTTCAACTGGTTTATGATTTACACTTTGTGTATTAATGCTTAGGACTGTCGACCTCTGTGCCAAAATATTTTAACAACAACCTGATAAGTAGTAAGCAGATGACTCAAGAAGTGTTCGTACTACAAACAAAGATCACACCGCATGCTCTGAGTGGCAGTTTGAACCCTTTTTGGGATTCCCATCAGAAGCTGTGTACGGTCCACAGCAGAAGATTTGAGGATCGGTAGCAGTCATTCATTTGTTTCCTTGCTGAACACAATATGGGCTACAGTAACAAACAGATTGTAAGCAACAGGTGTGGAGTTTGAAGTAAACAGTTCACTGCTTACCTGGTTGCCCCGGCCGTCCCTTGTCTCCGGGTGGACCTGGAATGCCGGGTCTTCCTTTTGTACCACGAATACCATCGTCACCGGGCTGACCAGGTGGTCCTTGATCTCCCGGCTTACCCTTATCTCCACGAATACCCGGTTCACCCTTTGGACCACGCTCGCCTTTCTCAACTGAAACCGAAAAATCCGTACTGGTAAGAGGATGCTCCGGAAAATACACTCTCAAATTCATAACTTGCCGAATGAAAGAGAAATACACCGGAAAAATCATCCGGAAGGGACGGTTCAAGCAGATTTAGTCAGAAGGGGATAGTGTTTCTTTTGCAGGGGGGGGGGGAATTTGAAAGAGCCGTACAAGCAGATGTTGATGAATATGCTTCCATCGCAGTTAGATGTGCATTCAAATTCTAACAGCCACTTATTGAATTCACGAAATTCATCTCTAGGAAAAACCAGTAGGCGTACAACGTCATCCAAACACCATGTTTGATTCCATGTTTATGCGTAACCTAACAGCTCAAGTTCCATTTGCACTGGTCGGTAACGAGTTCAGCAACTGCTTATGTGTGTGTTTCCTTCACAAGTAGAGTTGATCACGTTGGATACAACATTCGACTGGATTGGTTTTTGGCGGCGTGCAAGTCTTGACCTTTGAGAACTAATCATAGAAAGTAGTGCTTAACATCTTGCGTGTGTGAAGAGGTTGATTTCTAGCTACACAGCTTGTCTCTTTCAGCATATCGCGCAAGTTCACTTACCTCCCCTGAATTCGCCGACCCCAACCAAATCGCCTAGTGCATTAAGAAAACTGTTCATGGTCAACAAATCGAAATAAGTTTGTTTACTAATACTTTATTATTTCCCTTTTAGAAATGTAATGATGTAACTTAACAAGTATAATCATTTGGTCAGTTTTGAGATAGATATCAGTTAATGAAACAGTGTCCGGCTGGTTGCAGGAAATGCGAACGAAGGCTTGGCATCAGATTTAATTTTTAGCTGATTTCTCGAATGGAACACCCACAGGTATATCAGTATCACTAAAAGGAATTCGCGAGTAACAACTGCAAAACGAGGGTATCGAAGGTCAATTTTTGTGATTCATATCCCAAGGTGTATAAGCAAATGCGAAAAAAAGAAGTCAGAATAAGATGGAAGTGATGACTGGGACCACCGTATAATGTTTTTGGCCTGGGATCATTACGAGTCCCAAACTCAGTAGAACGATATTTTCAGTTTCATCATTCTCGTTTATGTGAATCTTGCCATACAATCAGTCAAGCAGTCGCACACCAGTTTGATAGAATTTTTCGAAAGATGGGGCTCGATTGAGACTTGTCAGCGCTTTAAGCAAATAACGTAACTTGAAGAAAATACTCACAGAGCATGACTGCGTTACTTCAAATAACTCATTTTTACTGGAATTATCAGAAAGGCTTGAAGCCATCGCTTCAAAATCCCCCTAATGATCATAGGTCACGTAATCCAAACAACCAAGCTCACATTCTACCAATCTTGGTATGAAGGCGTTGCTGTCTATTCCACAGACAGCAGTTTAACTGACTAAGGGGGTCTTGAATCTTGAATGTGACATTCTATCCGCAGGTCTCATTGATGCTGGTTCAACGGTGGATACTACTGAGCAGGCGTGGGAGAGGTTTTTGGTTTTCTCGTAATCCGATTCTATTGAAAAGTGAGATTTATTGCGGAATTTGTGGAATCGCTTTGTAGCATTCGTTTGCCCTTGAGTGACAGTAAACGGGCATCCAGTAAAGAATAGGAAAACGCGTTCGGGAAGAAGGTGAATACATACGCACATGAGAGTTTTGCTTCCCTGTCCAACGGTCTGTAACTGTTCAGTTGGTGTTTTCTAATGAATAACTCCGCGTCGAAGGCCTTCTTCCTTTCAATGGTAGGACGAGGAGGAGAATCCCACCTTTAGTTTTAGGTGTGATGACAGATATCTCATTTTCTCCTTCTACTGTATCAATCAGAATCAAAACAGAAACACGGCTATCTGAGCAGATCTATATGGCTTCTTGCACTGTACAAAGGCTTTTTTATCCAGAACTTTTTTCGCCGTCCCTTTCTCTTGACCCGCAATTTTCAACGCAATTATGACTCTCTTACGAGTTAAATTGGGAGACATAGTAGGCCTGTTTTACAGTGACTTATGCTTGTCGGGACTGTACAATCACTCTTAACCTGTCTCAATATGCTCAAGATAATTAAGTTCAGTGACTGTTACCAAAACGACGCATTAATTATTCACGGTGCCTTTAGTTCATGTGGCTTTTCAACATCTTTAATGGTATTCTGTCAATGATCTTCAGTGTTTCTTCAGGCGTCTTTGAACGATGAAAAAACTTCCCAGTTGCCCAATGAAACCAACTCAGACTGTTTAGCTTAGAAATGTCGAGATGTCCTTCCACTCTTTCATTAAACTTCTTTGGTTCAGATCCATTCCTAGAGTGTCCACAATTGGAAAATTGTTATTGCAAATGGATCCCGAATGCAAAGACAATCGAATTCCTTCAGATTAGTTCTAGGCATACCACCACTCACATGCGTCAAAGTTGGATGAAACTCGTTTCTATCCCATGAACTATAAACCGATACCATATTCTTTGACGATCAGGCTGATCTGTTCGTCAAGTTTAGTCATCTTCACTCAAATCACAGTTCACCTGACCGTTATTGTGGATGGCATACTTGATAAACTATTCGGTGAACATGATGGATGCATACTTTCATGTTAAGATAACAGTGGGATCCTTCAGTGGCTGTGTGTGGTGTGGATCAACCCGTGTTATGATCCCGTCTTTTGAACTCTCAATTTTTATTACTATCTCCTCTATAAAGGAGGACTAGCTGCCCCAACATCATGCATACTCCGAAAAGTGACCAGTGCATCTACCGTGATCCAGACACGGGGCGTGTGTGCCAGTCTAGTACAGTGTTTTGGACCCAGTTCTGCATGTTTCGCCCAGAAATAACAAACAATACGAATAGGACAAATTCCCCTTTTGTGATTCTGAACGGATCACACGTGATGACACACACTGGATGAAATGCACTGAAAACCGAAATTTTTTGGCTGTAGCAACATCGGAGAATGAAAAAACGTCCAAGTTACTGAGCATAGTCGATAAGATGTGACCGATTCGATTAGTTTTGATCAAGCCGATAAATCTTTTGTCCCACCAAAAATGTGGTGAATTTATGATTAAAATAACCGTGATCGTCAATCACTTCAATTAAACAAACAATCCAATGTACTTGAGGAGATAACCGACCTCCAGAAATAATCAAAGGATTTGTCAGTATGAAACCTTCTACATTGTATGGAGCACTCACCTGTCATATTTCCAGGACGAATCACATTGATAGTACAGTTACCCGGTCTGCCTGGATCGCCCGGATCCCCGGGTATTCCCGGCATCCCTGGTCGTCCTTTTTCACCTTTAAGACCAAATGCGATTTCAGCTGGTTGACCTTTATAACCCTTTTCGCCTTCCATTCCTTTCTGACCCTTCAATCCGGGGATACCTTGAGGGCCGATTTCACCCTTTGAAATGTAACAAGTAAGAACAATTTGACATGTGAATAAATGCATTCCGAGCTACCAGTGCCTATAAAGTATACCGACCTTCAGCATTCACGAAGCATAGCAAAGCGTCGTTCAAGACAAACGTACATATTACTCACCGGCTCACCCTCAGGACCACGGTCACCTTTTTCACCAGATTCTCCGGGACTTCCTTTCACACCTTTCATACCTTTTGGACCATCCATTCCAGGGTAACCCTTTGGACCTCGAACAATACCTCTGAATTCCGTCCTGGTTTCCCCAGGTTCACCTTTATATCCTTTGGGTCCAGGTAAACCCCTGTCTCCCGGCTCACCCTGTAACACAAGACACATAAGAGACAAAAGAAGACGTAGCATAAGTTTATTTAAGGATATCAACCAACAGAAAAGTTCGGAGGAACCAGGTGTCTGCGGGCCAGGATTGCCAAATGGATGGAATTATGAAGTATCATTTCGTCCAAGACTTCGATTATAACCTTGTAGTGGATTTCACCCTGGCAGTAAACAGTTCCTTATAATCTACCGACGTGTGGTTTCAAGAATAAAGATATGAGGAAACACTCACAGTAGTGTACGCATACAAGAATGTTCACCATCGGAATACTTTGTTCCCCTTGGGTACGGTATGACAATCAAGATTGTGGCCAGTGATGGAAGTTATTATGTTCCCTCCAATGAGGCTCCGTTTCGAAAAGTCAGCCGGAAAAACTAGTGTTTACGTGCGGAAACACAATAGGCCATCTATCGAAACCTCATGGTTAGAAGTTATAAACCTGGTAAGAATTTGGATATCTTCACCACAGCATAGCGAGCCAGCCTTTCCATAATCGTCCTCAGCGCCAATAAGTCTCTTTCGAGTTTTCAACCATGACCAATTAACTTATAGTACTTACAAACACCGAAGAAGTAGGACACAATTGGCGTTATGCAAAAAGGGATTTACTCCAGTTAGTATTGTAATCTGCTATTGGGGTTCAGCGATCTGTTCCCACCCACTCAATAAGTTGATGGCCGATCGGCAGACACCTCAAACTTCTGTCCATGCCCTCGTTTGTCCGCCTCTGACTTTTTCACTACTATATTTTGACTTTGGGAAGACTTGATAGAAGTTAATGTGCTTCAATTCGCTCGAATGTGTGTGCCACAAAATACCAAACAGCAAGGTTTCGCTTCGTTTTCTATTCCTTCAGCTCTTTCTGAAGGTCACTTGTTGAGCAACACAAAATGAAAACTATTCCCTAATAACTCTTGCAGTGGTTGTTGTGACGAAAATAACCAACTGTGTAAAGCGCAGCACAACCATTACCTTTCAAATCAAGTATAAGCATTTCTGTTTGAAAAGGTGAGACATTCGGACGGTAGCAGAACCCCCGGAAGGTGCGACAGTTGCTCAGGGAGCAGAAGGTTTACCGTAGACTGACGTACCTCATATCCTTGTGGTCCGATACGACCTGGATTACCAGGCGCACCTCGATCACCACGCTCGCCCTTCATGCCATCGAGACCCCTTGATCCTGGTGTTCCTGGAGCACCTGGAGCACCCCTCTCGCCTTTTGCGCCCGGAATGCCAGGTTTGCATGGATGACATCGTTCGCCAGGTTCACCTAAACACGAGAAAACAACAGTCTTGACTGAGGTGCTCTGCCTTTTTTCACATTTCGGGCATACACATTAGAAGCAGCGCACACAAGATACAGGACGATAACAAAAACAACAAATGTGTGATCCGTGTATAAACTTGGAAGATAACAGACAGGAATTAAGGAGAACAATGAATATAAGACGTCAAACTAGATCCTCATCGATTTTTCACTTTGGCGATTGATCGAATAGGCTAATTCTTCACACATGAAGCGATCAGTTCACGGTTAGACGTTTGAGCATGCATTTGAATTTATCCTAGCCAAACTATGGATTGAGCAATTCAGAGGTTTACACACCGACCCACTGCGACCAAGTCACTACGCACTAATGATGTCACCTCGGTTGAGGACGAAACTCTCCACTCCCGTGAACAGAACAGCAAGGCAGAGGAGTCTCAAACGAGTGTCGTGAATGCAAGTTCAACAGACCCCTGCGACGAACTATGACCGAGTAGCTGCTTATCGTTCAATCATCTATGACTATCAGAATAGTTGGCTTGAAGTCATTTGATCCGCTGAACAAGGTGATACCCCAGTCACGTATTCACCCATCTTCTCAGTTTACTGACTGAATACACAAGGGAACCAACCGATTCACACTTGCCTGCTGAAACCCGCGACCCAACAGCTCCTGATCTAACAGCATATACTGGTGAGTAGATGGTGCAGGTGACCTTCTAACAAAGTCGTCTGGATTATCCGGTGGTATAAACTGAGCTCATACGCATTAATATGAATAAAAGTCGTACTGAGAAAATAATTAGTACCAAACAGCACACAGTGTGCGCATTGGTTAACCGACTGAAAACAGCTTGTTGCCTATGCCTAACAGTGAACAACAGAATCCAAAACATCCCGACTTTTGGGATCGAAACCACATGGCATCTAAATGTCCCTTGCAAATGTCAACAATATTATTCATGCCATGTTATGCTATTATTAGAAAGCCTGAGCAACTCACCTTCAGGTCCAGGTATTCCAGTTCTTCCGCGTTTTCCAGTTAAACCAGCCAAGCCCTTTTCACCTTTCTCACCAGGCGGACCCGGTCGACCAGTACCCTTGCCTCCCGGTTCTCCACGTTCTCCTTTGATACCCTGTGGACCCTTTGGACCTGGAGCGGCCAAAAATACAACTTGAATGAATCTCAAAGCAGAATTACGGCAGAGGGCCAGGTTTACAATGACAAAATACCAGACAGATTTTTCAGTGGAATTTTTAAAATCACACTATCTCATTTGGGATGGTATCTAACAGACCGCTAACGATTGATAGCAAAGCGGCACTTCTAACAAACAGATTGTACTTTCTTTCCTAAAGGCAATCTATTTCTTGCCTATCTTGGGACTACCGTTTTATAATCCAAACCATGTTATCAAGCCAACAACATTTTCCGAAACCGTGATTGCGGAGTGGTTGCCAAAAGTCGTAAGATCTTTGCATCACGCAAATCCTCCATTCTGAATACGTTGAATGGTCGTAGGGAAGCGATCAGATCGGTGCACCTCGCTCACCCTGTTTTCATTGCGATGAGTTGGGATGTCATACGATCACACAGACATCTTATTTTCGTTGGCACAACACAAGCCTGGTTGGCAAGCACGAGGACCGAGGAGTCATGCAACTCCCACACAAACTCACCTTGCGGCCCGTCAGCTCCACGGTCGCCGGGATCACCAGGAGGTCCTCGTAAGCTACGACCAGATTCACCTTTATCGCCTGGATATCCATCATCTCCAGGGGGGCCCGGGTAGCCTGGGAGGCCCGGCAGGCCAGGTTCACCTGCAGTCGTGAAATTGATGGAGTGTGATTAGATGCCAGATATGTAACCGAGTCAAAACATGCATCTAGATTCACAGTACTGATCTGAGTGAATAGGATATGCTACGAACCACAACTGTGGTCACACTGAGAAAAGTTACACGGAATTTAATATCCTGACATATTCCGAAGCCTTAGTAAATCTTCGGCACAAAAGTTTATTGTAAAGTGAAACAATTTCACTTCGAATTCTAGTCAAATAAAACTGTCAACACTGAGTAAACTGGAAGCTCTAGTCAGAGATGAAAAGTTTATTGCTTTCTGGATAACTCCGAAAGAAATCGATTGCCGTCTAAGTTTGGGATTCCACGAAATGCTGTCCAACAAAACTAATATGATGACAATTTATAGTTCAGTTTTTGCTGCTACTAATCTCATGTGGGTTTTCAGTAGTGAGATGCTTGGATGGTTTTGCTTCACCAGCTGCTGGTGTCAAGAATCCCGTCTCACAAGCATGCAGAAGAAGCATGCAGGAAAACTTGAGTGATGATAAGTTTGGATATGGTCAGGTAGAAGGTTCAAGGCTATAAATCTTCAAAAGTTCGGTGAGCTGATCTAAAGATTCATCAGGTACTAGAAAAAATCCAGGAAATCTGGAAAGTTAAAACACGCTCCTAAGGGTCACGTTTACAGCTTGAGAACCACTGGTAACCACCACTGACAACTACGGTCTTTCTGATTCAAAAAGAAAAGCTTGCGGTGACTTGCTTCATAAAATTTTGGCTAATTTTGTAACCTTATGGAAACGACTGTTGCCTTACGATTACGCCGAACTCTTTCGTTGATGATCCTGATCCTCCTCTTGTCCAGCCTTGGCAACTATGACAGTATTCTGACCATCACTCAATCATATCACTAAGAGTAAGCGCATGAAAGTCAGACATAGCTTGGTGAGAGAGCTTGGGAGACCTATTTACTGCATATAGCAGGACAAATGGCCCAAACTCTCCTACTGTCAACTTGGCACGTCCAGTTGTCTTCCTTATCAGCTCTTACTTCCTCTCCCATTCGGCCTATTGAACGCGCTATGTTGGACTTTCAATCCTAGAATACCGACTGAAAAGAAATTTGGGAAGATAAGATGAAGCTAACTATAGGCTCTACGGAATACACTAAATAGCTTATTTTTGGCTTGGGGACCAGTCCTAAAAAGTGCATTCTGAACACTGAGGATTTCCACCAGTATGCGCTGCTCATCCACGTGTAACCCACCCGGGTTTCGTCACTGTAGTATGCGCTGGTACATGAAATTATGAAATCAGACCAAAACTTCATATATCTTCCATTGTATAGTGCATGCACAAATCGCTCTCATAGTATAAATTTGGCGTCACTGGCCTTTTGAGCTTCCTGAAGAGAACCGTTCACAGGACCAAACATTTCATGCACTAAGTAGTGCATCACTCAGATTCTTGCAATCAATTACAACATATTTCCTATTTATTTGCAACTCATTGGATTTGGCTTGGGTAGCCGTCAGGAACCTCAGGGCTCTTAAGACAGTTTGCCAGATGATCGATCGCAGAAAACCGGCCTTATCCTTTATACTAAGTATCCAAGTGTCTTCTCCGGGAGTATCTAGTAGTTTGTAACATTTCGGAGAGTTAGACCTCCGATTGTGCTGGTAACTGCTTTCTGAGAAAACCGTTTTATGGACAAAAATGGCTCAAACTGTGGTAAACTGCAGAATGATATGCGGATGTGGTATGAGCTTTGCTTATTAGTAACCTAGGCGCTCAATCTACTCAAATTGATCGCTATTGTGTTCAGATTCGGATCCATCTGTGACCCTGGTTATCCGGGGGTGCGAAGCTAACAAAAGTGTGTATTATCTGACACTACTTGGCATATGTTTACTTCAAGTGGGCCTTATAGTTGGTGCGGAGAAGGGCTGCCAAATGATCATGCTGTTTATCTTAAAAATATCCACATCTGCTCAAGCCCAGGACTTATTCAGTCAGATTTACACAGGGTAAAAGGCGCTCGGTTGGTTGCACACGTGACTAAGCGCAAACAGGACATGGCCTCATCCATCTTACGCGGAAATCCGTCGGCATGGTTCAATGTGGCAGGCAAGACCTGAAACTGAAGCCATCTCATTATTTCATTGAGGACAAAAAATGTATAATTCCCGAAAAGATGCCCAAGGAAAATTTAGGTTACACTTTTTTAGGTAGCGCACACGATGTCTCGATTGCAATTACTAATTTAATTCCAAAAATTGAGTTACCATGTTCTCCTTTTGTTCCAGGCATGCCCGGCGGCCCGACTGGGCAGTCCATTCCAGGATCACCAACAGGACCTTGCGGACCGATAGCACCCTTACGACCCCGGTCACCATCTGCACCTACAGGACCAGGTGGGCCCCTCTGTCCTGGAATTCCAGGAGGACCCCTTGGACCTGGTCGACCGGGTAGAACACCTGTGCATTCTTCCGAACCCTAGAATAGATGGAAAAACTAGCAGTATCTCTCTGACACCCTGCATATTTCTAAAACCAACAAAACATAGTCAAAGTGTACTTCCCGATTAACCGACTATCTTCCAAAGCAACACGAGTGCACTTGAATAATCGATAATCCAAAGAAAAAACAGCCCCGCACCATTATTAGTGTACAACTTACTCCGGGTTCACCAGGATCTCCTTGTTCACCACGAAGTCCATCTGCACCGGGTTCGCCAGCTAAACCCTTTGGTCCTGGGGGACCACGTTCACCAATTAGCCCATCACGTCCTGCAGTGCCCTGGAAAACAAAGTGGAAAACGAAGTGAAAATGGTTATACTGACTTTCTCTTCCGATGAAAAAATTAGTTTTCATATTTGTCAAACGGCACGAGCTGCACTACTGTCCAGTTATGTGTATCATAATGTAATAACTCTTTGAATGTCTTACACAATACCAATCGAATACCAGTTATGAGCAAGAGGATGCGAAGCGTACTTTACCAGTAAATAGATACCACTAATAACCAAAAAAGTATCTGGCATGTTCAGCACAAGAACGTTGTTGAGAAGGTTAGAAATACGCGCTAATTAAGAGTCCTGCAGTAAGAGCTCGTTTAGACTATTTTCGTCCTAGTAACTTCAAGTTACCCTATGAATTTAGTGGTTTTCGTCATCTAAAATGTTTCCTTGACCGTTATTTCACTTAGATGTTTTCTTCCGTACAACAATCCCGACTTGGAACATGGAGTAGCGTCCACCTCTTGATCTCATGCTGACAGTTGAACCATACATCAGTGACCTTGTTTTGTTGATCACAAAACAGTTCAGTCCGTTTCGAGCATTCGTAATCTCTTGTCCTTATTCCCTGGGAGCGAAACTACAGCATAACCTCTCCCTTATTCACAATGCTCGGTCAAATAGGTCCGAAATTCGCTCACCTAAATTCCTCGCAACCGGACCCTCAACAAGTCTGATTGCTCTACCTGAATAAGGTTGATTTTGTCTCAGTTTATAGATTTTACATTCTCCTCAGCATTCTACGCCTGGGAAAGAACAGACTAACCATCAAATATAGGCGATTCGCTTCGGCTCTATCACACACTTCCAAACTCGGTCAAATCTTTCAGCAAGCGACTTTCTCTAGAATTAGAATGATTTCAAGATCAACCATACAGTACAATGACATTACCACCGTTCTCTGGTTTACACTCGAAAAACTTCCACCGTACAATTAGCCTTCTCATTGGAACTGTTTTCAGCTGTCAGGAATCCCCGATTGAATGAAGTTCCTTTTACCCCCTGTGTTCCCGAAATTCACGAATTTTTCGTTCAGCACTTTTTTAATATTAGTCCTTTTGCCAAAAACTTTATTGTTCATTGTTAACCTTTACAACTATAGTGGTTTTTTACTGACAAAATTATATGGTTTTAGGAGGAAATATATTTCAAACTCACCTTTACTCCCGGTAGACCGGTATCACCTTTGTAACCTTTGGGGCCCTGAATAAACAAAAGAAAAGTGGTAAACTTAGTACGGTACGTGGGGTTTTAATAATTTGTCAGTGAGGAGGACAGGTGTAAAGAACATATTTTTATTTGTTTGTACTAGCAAGTGCTTAGTTTTTGGTTGGGGATCAGTTTGTAGTGTCGAGCCTTTGATCTGCAAGTTTTAATAAACGTTGTTCATTATACCGCTCAGGAATTCAATCACAGAACCGTAGGCAAAAAACAGTTGGAAAACCGTGCCAGTTTAATTTGGAAAAAACAAAATGATAAATCCACAAGCGAAAACTTGCATTGCAGAAGTTGTATGGCTGTAGAACCGACTACAACAGTTTGCGTCATCCCACATGTTCAAAGTAATTTTGGTAGACGAAAATGTATCCTGCATGGGAGATTTGTCGCGCAACCAAAGTCTCCAAACCCATTGTTAACATTTTATTCGTCGTACTGATTTATTACAAATGCGCTTCGCAGTTGCACGCAAAATTGTTGCTCTGACGAAACAGTATTTTAAGCGATTTCTGGAATCAACTTCATATCGGACTGCAAAGTGAACTTTCGTAAGATGAAAGCACACAGTTTTGTCGCAGCTGACTTCATGTGCCGGAACTGCTTTGGTCAGAATAGATTGTAGGTTTTTGATAGCCCTGCGTCTGTATTCTGTTCCCCATGAAGTGCTTATGCAATGTTTGATTGAGGGAGGTTTTTTAACGGAAGCGCATCAACTTCAAATGTAAAAGACTCCAGGTGGTCATTTTTTCGAAAATATTAGTTAGCCCATACAGTTATCTTCACCAGCTGGCAAAACTGTCGTGATCAGAATAACAAGTGTGCAGATAAAAAATCGATCTCATGAACTCATGACACTTAGAAAGTTTAAACTGCCCTTTCGTAATATCTTGCCTAGTGAGTGACTCCAATAACCGAAGTGATAAGAATAGCTTTTATATCAAAAGATTTGTTACACTAAGAACTTAGCCATCAGTGATGTTCATTCATTGAGAGGCAGCTTTTAATAACAAGCTGTTTTCTTCACAGCAAGGTTTTACCTGTAAGAAGTTGCGTGCTACAGTGGCGCATACTTACCCGTGGTCCATCAGGCCCAGCACGGCCCTTCGGGCCAGCGTCACCGATTGTTCCATCTTCACCCTGAAGAAAATACGTAGTACGTACAGACCAATGTCAGTCGTTTTGAACCATATATATTGCCTATATGGTCAAGTTGAAAATAATAAAATTCTGCAATTAGGCATATCGATGCATAATAATATCAACCCTACTACTACTAATAATAACTGTTTTCTCCAACCATGAAAAAGCTGCTTGGCCGAGTCAGAGAAGGGGTGACTTATTAAAACACTTTCTTGTAAAATAGAATGTGATAAGCCTGTGAAGAATTTCGTCCACTAATCGAGTGAATATTACAGTTCCTTGATATTCTCATGAAAAGGCTTCTACATTCATCTGGGACCAACCATTTTTTGACTCCATAAGGATCGAATTGCATTCAAAATAGTACAGGGGATTCACACATCTGTTATTACCATATACCCAGCAACCTGGAATTGTTGTACAGCTTAGTGGGATTTTTTAAATTGGCGCCAACTGGTCTCTAGCCCGAAAAGCAAGCGGTCCACTTCCTTGCTCTTACAGGATTGAAACGACTTAATAGAGGCACACGATGTCATACCGAATCCCATACTAGTCATTTTAGATAGTGTATAACAGTTTCACCAGGCGGTCAGCGCTCATGATAGGCGGAGATCTCTAAAATATCCTAGACACTGTGGTTTTTCTAATTTTATATTTTCCATACCACGTGAACTTGTAGCTACCCAGTCACCCGCATACTTGACTATTCAGCCCATAATCGCCCACTGGATCACGAGACTTGTTTTTTTCGTACTCAAACACGTCACATTAAGCTGACGCATCGGATACCGATTGTCTGTATCGTCTAGTCAGCGTGGCAACTACTCGTGCTGACGCGCCCATCTGCACGCAAACGGATCTACGTATGGAGAAACCGAAGACAGTAAGCACATAAAGACTCGCGCACGCGCAGGGAGCAAGGAGTCAGCCACGGACAACTATGGAACACGTGTAGCAGCTATACTGCGGAGAAAACACGTTCCCGCTGTCCGGACTTTCACCAAGGGACTCGCATACGATAAGTTCCTTTTTGACTTGCTCCACATCTTATATTGCCTTTATTTTATACATGCTGCAAATCGCTTGTGTAAACTACTGTCAACTTTTATTAGTGCATACACGTTCTGAGTTGTATTATGGCTATCACCACCTACGCACTAATAAACTTACGCGATTTCCCTTCTCTCCTCTTGGTCCTGGGAGGCCCCGTTGTCCTGGAGAACCCTAAAAGAACGGAAAACAGGTGAGAACGTATAGTACAATTAGAAAAAAGGAGGTACGCCTTGGTCGTACGACAAGGCATCTGTCTGACAGAATGCGTGTCTCATGCGAGTCTTTCGGTGTCTCTGAGTGGTAATTGAAATAAACCGGGCCCAAGTTGGCCGAAACCAGTCATGTTATCGACAAAAAGCAAGCCTTCGATAGCATATACTAGTTACCCTTGAAATGGTCATGACTGGTACTATCCAGACTACCATCGATCAAAAAAGTGATTAGAACCCGGCTGTTGGGTCGACAACTTTGCGTCCAAAAGAAACTTGTGCAACCTCTGCACTTGAACTAGCCTTGGACAATATCCGATCCCACAAGCCCGTCTGACATTGACGTCACTTACTTGACTCCATAACTTTTCTACCCCTCATTCAACCCTCTCATTTGATTTTTATTTTACCAGGGTGGTATCTGGTACCACATAAATCTGTGGTGTATTAGGCAAGAGGACCCATCACAGAAAACAAGGTTTGTTCGCTGCTTTCATTCTTCTCATGACTTCCACGGTAAACTGTATGGTACTGGTTTGAAGAGCACATAAATTGCTAAATACTAGAATGACAAACTAACTAGAATGGAAAATGAACGTGAAAGCGACATAAATTCTTGTTATCAATAATAAATCACAAGCAATAAACGGGTACCATGAGCAACAAATTCTAGAGATAACCTTGACCAGCTAAAGTGAACGCTGGCACGCAAACTCTGTGAATATGTCCGTAAAGGCTTATGAGATATTACTGATTTTATCATCATTATTTCAGTTCTTGTTAGTACGATTTTGTTGGTAGTCCAACTCGTTTCCTTCTGTTTCTTGTACAATTGCCGGTGCCTGATACTATTGTGAACAGTGAATGAAAGTAGCTGCATTACATGTTTGGCATACATCCGCTAATCTTACGTCAGCGAAAAGATTTTATATCCCGAAATTCTGTTCTGTGCATAGAAACTTCCCACGCATCATACTCATAAAACAGACGATTGAGGACCGGATCTTGTAAACCCGATAACAGGGTTCGTGGTAACCTCTGGAGGAGTAGCATGATCCATTGTGCACTAGGATGTTGTCCTGAACCGATTTTTCCGTCAAACTAACGCGTCCAGAGAGGTTAGGGGCTTCAAGTGCTGAAGATGGCTCAAACCACCACCAATAGTGTTTAATGCTACAAGACCTGAGTAATATAAACCCCAATCAGCTGTGAATGAAGCAAAGTTTATTCGATAAATAAATTAACTAAACCTTCTCAGAAAACAAGCAATCAAACATACTCTGTCTCCAGGTGGACCAATCAGTCCCTTGGTGTCCGAAACCAACTTGTCCAATGAACAATTCCGTCCGGGGTCACCTGGGTCACCGGGTGGGCCAGGTTTTCCTTTCACTGGAGTGTACGAGTCAATAATGGATTCACCAGGTTCTCCAACTTCACCCATTGGCCCAGGATCACCATCATCACCCTACGTAAGATGGAGGAAAAGTACGTCAGTAGAATACCCATAAAAGTACACTTTCATGTTTCTAGGCTGGTGCACTCGCTATTTTGTGAACTACAGATTATTCACACTCAATAAATTCCTCGGGACATTTAGCAGTAGCGGCATGCAACAAAACAAAGATTCTTGTTACTTAACATTCCCGTCGTGTCGATTCAGATTGTTGCCTATAGAATGGTCACTTTTTCCACTAACTGAATCCATATACCACCTATGCCAGTTCCATTTTTGTAGTTCAAATTTTCCACAAAAGTTTAAAGCAAGCGAGATTCTATTACGGTGAAAGGAAAAAGGCCTTTGCTGCGGAGTTATTTACTAGAAAATACCAACTGACCGGTTACAGACCATTGGGCGGGAAAGCAAGACTCTCATATGCATCTTGTTTACAAAAACTGAACATCCATATTCTCTTGAACGCGTCTTCCTATGCTTTCCTGGATATTCATTGACTCCAATCATTCATCGCTCAAATCCAAGCAAATGTTACAAAGCGACTCCACAAATTACGCAACAGATCTTCCCTTTTCAAGAGACGCAAAGTAAAATTCCACGAACAACACATACTACTCGTGTGCCTCTCCATCAGTAGTATCACCGTTACAACGGTATCTATGAAAGCAGGTAACACCATTGTGGTTGAGGGCATGTATTCATTTCATTGTCTGATCTAAATTGATTATTGTAACCTGACAGTATTATATTGCCTCGGGAGTGATTTTTTGTCATACCCATGTAAACCCTTATGTTGGACCACTTGGAGCGGAGTTCACGATCACCAGCACCCACGCAAAGCACACGAAAGTCGAGTCCCGTTTTGTCCCTCGGCTATCAGATAGATTACCTTTATTTCGAGGTGAACTTTATGGGCGGAGACACTTAATTATTGCTGTAGGCCCTAACCTTTGGATGTTCGCCTTAGCCTTGAAGATGTGCTGCTCATCAGGGTATGCGGAATAAAGTCAGCCAATACGAAAATATAAATGATCAACCATACTGGTAGGCGGAATCACCACCGTCCTGAACTCGGACAGTCACCGCATACGTAGGAAGCCGCAACAAGTTGAAAATATACCATTCGGCTTTGGTTTGCACCTAGACAGAATTTAGCGCTACTGCTGACGCTTCCCAACAAAGATGAAGCAGCAATAGATGGTTTCTCGGTTTTCAGTGTAGACTGACTCCATTTACCCGATGAAATCTGCTGCTTAATACCTAGGAAATACTCGTGGTTGATCAGATGGCAGTTGATCTGTTCGCCGAGCTTGGCAATTGGCTTGCAAACGTTTCGTCCCCAGTCGAGGAGACGTCGTCTGTGCGCAGTTGAATGCTCGGCGAACAGATCAACCACAAACTGATCAACCACCAGTAAGCACACCCGAGTTACCCATATTTCGACAAATTGATACCTAGGAAATAAAAACCAATAAATAGACCATACACACGTTCTTTGTTAGCTCAAGTAAGCTTCGAACGTACTGAATACCATTGGGAATTCGAATAGATATTGACAAAATCCCCAAGAAAAGTTACCGCAAGCGAGCGTGACAAATCGAAAATTTCATCTCTGTGAGCCCGTTTTGCGATCATCAAGCAATTAACGAAAGACAATGTGCGTAGGAAGTCTGTCCTACGTATTCTACCACCCATACATACTACTGTTTGACCTAAAAGGGGCAGATCATCTAATAAGTATTTTCAGTATGTAATCTAGAGCTTGCATTTGCCCAGTTTAACTTTCGTTGAGTATATCTTGGTACTTGCTGATCGATCAAACTCACTCGAGGTCCCGGAGGGCCTTGAGGACCTGGGTCTCCACGAATTCCAGCTGACCCCTTGTAACCCTGGAATGAGACAAACAAGAGAAGCATAAATTGTTAGAATTGAAAGAACGTCAGGTTTATAGAACACTATAAGCTACTGCTGAGATGCTGGTAATGAAATGCGTGCACTTTATCTATGCATTTTAGACTGGGCTGGCATGCACAGATCGATAAGGTGTACCTTGCTGAGCCGGAATAACTGAAACTTAGCCTATCACAAGGGTCACTGTCCCTCTTGTGTTGGTTGTGGAGGCACGCAGACAGACAAATGACGCCCTTCGGCCGGGACCTTTCTTTGTCTCATCAAATCCTTAACTATATCGCGAGACGCCACCAGTTCTCAGGGAAGTTTCGATACCATGGAATCAACACCTTTGATAGGTAAGAGATAAAAAGTAAAGCGTCAAACAGTACATGATCGGGCGTGTGTTCTAGTTTTTTCGGGTTGGTTTTCAGTGGCCGCACGAACTGTGTTTACTTACAGGAACCGCGTTTACGTCTTGATATCGCCGCGGTAACAGCAAACACCCGAGCTTGTGTAAAGTCTAAGTGACTTGGGGGGCCTCAGTACGTCACTCGAAAGGCTTAGGAACGTGGCAGCGACTGTGGGATCAGAATCAATCAAATGCACTGCAGCTGAACAGAAGTCAGGATATTTGTCAGCCATTCACCTGCTAGCCAAAACAACAAGTCAATTAGATGTGTAACTGTCGAATGTGGCTTCAGCAAAATTTGATGTAATTCAGGAGCCCAGTGCAACCGAACAGCGGATACTTTTACACATTTTCACCTCTCCTTTTAATATACATTCGCATCTTAACTACAGACTTTAAAGAAAACATTTGACAATGCACGCTCACTCTATGCAGCTTTAGTTTACCATGAA